CTCTCGCAGCCAGTGTGTGTGGAGTGAGTGACTGGGCTTGTGTCCTCGCGGCCTGGCTGCAGCTCCTCCACCCCCGCAGGTGGCGCCCCAGCCTCTGTGGTTCTCAGACACCGTGGCAAACCTACGGAAGCTGAAGGAACTGCCCCACCACCTGCTCCACTCCGGCCGCATCGCAGAGTTGAAGCAGGAGGTTCTGGGTAAGAGCCACATAAGATCATGTGGGATCAAGCTGGTGCCATGATTTCTCTTAAGGCAACAGTTCTCACCTGGGGCAGCTCTGCAGCCCCCACCCCACCCCAACTCTTGGCACTTGGCAGTATCTGGAGAAATCTTGGGTTGTCACGACGGGGGAGGGAGGAGATTGTTACTGGCTCCTGGGGGTTAGAGACTAGGTTTGCTGCTGACATTCTACGGTGCACAACTGCCCCAGCACAGGGCATGATCTACCCCATGGTGGTAGTGCTGAGAATGGCGTGAGAAAATCCCTCTCTCTATCAATATGTCACACATCTATCTGTCTGTCTGTCTCTCCATCTACCCATCTACCTACCTATCTTCCTATTATCTAGCTAGCTATCTTTGTATCTATCCATCTATCAACTAGCCATTTATCCTTGTGTCTGTCTCCCCTACACCTAGCTATTATCTTTATATTTTCCTAGCCACCTGTCACTTTCTCTGTGTATCCACTTATTCATCCCCATGATTCTCAACAAGAGTGATTATGTTCCCTCCCCCCAAACCACTTGCAGTACTTAATGTTTTTGCAGATCAGGACTTAGGGGCAGCTACTAGCATCTGGTGAGTGGAGACGAGAGATGCTGTTGAACACCCCACATTGCCCAAGATAATCCCACCCCCAGAGAATGGCCTGGAGTCCAAAGTCAGGAGTGTTGAGTGAGAACCCCATGAGTGATGGAGAGTTAGCCACTGCTCCCAGACTCCTCGCTGCCTCCTTTCTCCCACAGGGAGTATGAACTGGATCTCCTGCCGTGGTGTCTCTGGGGGTATCGAGAGTCTGTTGGATGACTTTGACCTCTGTACCCCTTATGTGGACTGTCCGGAGGTCGGCCTGGTACGAGAGGCCCTCCAGCTGTGCCGCCCTGCTGTGGAACTCCGAGGCATGGGTGAGTCGCCAACTTGGCAGCAGTGGGAAGGCTCTGGGCACTGGCTCCTAAAAGCCTCTGGCTGGATTGCCATGAACCCACATACCTATCCTCTCTGTACCCCTGTGGGATTCTCCCAGCTCCAGTTCCTAGAATTTTGTTTTAGATTTAGAGGAGCTTTGAGGTGAACACTACCAAAGCAATATTCACCCACTTTACTCAGGTCAGAAATGACTGGATGGGAGAGATTTCAGGCAAAATCAAAGAAATTATGTTGACACTTAATCAAGCGAGAAAAAGTTCCCTCGGGTTTTTTAAATGATGGGTGTGAAACTATAGTGATAATAATTAAGCGCTTTGGAGTACTAATCTGAAGATGAGATAGAAGATGGGGAATTCTTGCCCTGGAAAGTAGCATTTTTTGCTAAATGGGGTTCCATGCTGGTATTTCCTGTCACTCCATTGATTGCAAAGGTTGATCTGAAAAACCAGTGTTAGCTCTCAGGGCACATTGTTAGCTGGCTTGACCCCTTGTCTGTCCCAGAGCTGGAAGCTGATGCTCAGGCTGGGATGGTGTTTTGCTTGTTTTTGTTTTAAAGGTGCTAATTTACGCAGAGATTACCATTTACCCTCTTAACCACTGTAAGTGTCCAGTTTGGTGGCCTCAGCACATTCACATTGTGCGACCATTGTCAGCCCTTTCCACTGCACTTTCCCTGATGAAACTCCGTTCCCCGTTGAAACTCTGTCCCCCGTTGAACGCAAAACTCCCCCTTCACTTCCCCAGTTTCTGCCAACTCCCCCCACCCCCTGCCTCTAAGAACCTCACTCCTCGAGGCCCCTCGTGTGAGTGGGGTCATGCAGCAGCTGCCCTCTTGCGTCTGGCTTGTTTCACTCAGCACAGTGTCCTCAAGGTTCACCCATGTTGTGGCCTGTGGCAGATTCCTTCCTTTTCAAAGGCTGGATGATATTCTAGTATGGTTCACCACATTTTGCTTGTCCTTTCTCCATGGACACTTGGATTGCTTCCACCCCTTGTCAATAATAATTTCTACATAGTGCTGCTGAGGATGTGGGCATGTCTTTTCAATCCTTGCTTTCAGTTCTTTTGGCTATAGACCCAGACATGGAGTGGCTGGATCATTTGGTAATTATGTGTTGAGCTTTTTGAGAACTCCCCAGGCCATTTTCCATCGTGACTGTACCATTTTCTGCTCCCACCAGCAGTGTACAAAGGTTTCAAACTCTCTGAATGCTTGCCAGCACTTGCTATCATCTGATAAAGGAGCAAATAACCATCCCCATGGGCGTGAGGCAGCCAGGATGATTTTTATCATACAACTACCACCTGGTTTTGATTTGAGGGGTTTTATGAAAGGTTTCATATAAAGGTGCCTAAGTCCATGCTAGCTGGGAGCTTAGCCAGCTGTTGCTGTTCAGGGAACTCTGCAGCTACCACTGTAGTTAGACACCCCCGACCTCCTTGCCCCCAACCTCTACATTTTCCATCTCCACACCCTGTTCCGTCTACCTTAGCTTTTACTTATCATTTCTGCTAATTTTCTTTTATGCCTTCTGTCTGCCCCCATTGGACTCTGAGCTCCATGAAGGTAGGGGACATCATTTCCTGGCTCCCTAAAACTTTCTAACCGTACCACGCAGACCAGTCTTGGCCAAGAGCACAGACTGTAAGTCTCAAGCCGCACCGTGCTGATTCAAATTAGGGCTCTGCCACTTACTGACAGTGTGATCTTGCAACTCCCGCACCTACCTCCCCCTCACTCCCCACCTACCTCCCCCTCATCCCCCAGAAGGGGGGTCACTGGCTGCAGGCAGAGATGTGAGTCAATTCATACATAACCTGTTCCGATGATGCCACCTGAGGGTCCTGGACTGTCACATGATAGTATCCATATTGTTGACCTAAACGGCCATTTCTGCAAAACAACAGGTGTGCACCAAAGTATGTCTAAGAACCCTTCCTAGTGAAAGATGCTGGTGCCGGTGGACAGTCGCACCTTTCTCTTGTGCTCGCTCGTAATCACCAGGAGTTGAAACCTCATAGGGAGTTATTCCCCAGGACAACAGCCTTGGGCACAACTGCCCAGCTCATGGGAAGATTGGAAAATACAAATCACAGGCAGTTCTTCGCTGCATCTTTTTGTGTGTGTGTATGTGTAACAGTTTATTTTTACATTTTTTTTCCATCTCAATTGTAGTCCCCGTGGGTTTCCCATCACCAAGTCACCCGTGTGCCACCACCACCATAATCCCGTGCATTTCCCTCCCTCCCCCACCCCCCCGTTTTTGATCCCATTCCCCACTCCACCCCCACAAAATGTCTCTGGTATATGGCTGTTCATTATTCTTGTTATTTTCTCGCCTGGTCCATTATACTCCTGCTATGAGTGAAACCATCCGGTATGTTTCTTTCTCTTTCTGGCTTTTCTCGCTAAGCATGATCTTTTCCAGCTCCATCCAAGTTCTTTGCTGCATCTTTTAACCTGCGGTTTCATCAGGAGGAGATGCAAGGACAAATGTCACCACCAGAGGGCACAGGAGGGCAACACAGGAACACAGGCCTGGCCACTTTTCAGAATCCCAACCCATCTTACTAAAGATCCACACCCCCCATGTCTCCATAGGATGGAGGACATCCTGTCTCCAGGATGACTCTGCATGGTGCCATTTTTGGTTATTCTGCTTTTGTTTTTAAAAGCTGTTATTTGATTCACCATGGATTTGGGGTGCCAGCAATTTTTTTAAAAAAACATGATGTTTAAAATTTATTCGTATTATTAAAAAAGGTGTGTTGCAGAAAATATATGATTCTATCATGAATTACTGAACCAGTAATGCCAATGGTAAACCTTGTTTTGTGGATTTAACTATCATCGGTTCTGTGAATTTTGCTCATTAATATAATAGTTTACCTTTACATCATTTTGTGCCTTTTCCCATCTCAGTTGTAATCCCAATGGGCTTCCCACCACCAAATCACCTATGTGCCATCACCATAGTCCCATGCATTTCCCTCCCCCCACTGTTTTTTGATCCCATCCCCCACTGGAGTGACAGCAGTTTTAATTTTTTTTTTAATATTGCACTAAAACACACATCGTGAGAGTTTAATTTGTGGGCATCACATTAAATTTGCATGGCAAATGGTACAAATGGGGTAAGGCCAGGACCAGAGCTGGTGCCCCACTGGCCCTCCTCTATTTTACTCTCCAGCAAACCCAGGCACAAGGTATTGTTGCCACTGCCCCAGGCCCCAATAACTAGACAAAATGAACGACCCACTGTCCGTGTCCCAACTCTTTGTTCTGTGTGTTGAGATCGAGCTTTTGGGGCCCAGTTCTTAGCTGTGTTACCTTGCACAAGTTGCTTACCCTCTTTGTGCTCCAATTTCCCTCTTTATAAACCTAGGATAATAATGATGGTTTCTCTGGTCCCAGAAAGACATATTTACTTCCTAGTCCCCAGGACCTGTGACTATTGCCTTATATTTCAAAAAGTCAGATTAAGGGAAGGGTGTTAGAATGAGGAGGTAATCTGTATCAGTCCTAACTGCCATCAGAGAAGGAGGAAGAAAAGGAAGAATTGAAACAGAAGAAGAGGAAGGATTGAAACAGCAAAGAGAAAACACACAGACGTGCGTGTCGTGGCACTAATGGAAACTGGGACACTTAGGCTAACAAGAAGCTGGCTTTTTGCACCAATGCTGGTTCAGTGAATTTGCATCCAAGGCTGAGCCTTGTTTGCAGGATGTTAGGGGCCTATATACACTTGTAGTTGGTACAAGGTTCCAAGTGGATTTATACTGGCAGTTAGTACATGAGGTGGCTACTTACCAAGAAGTAAGTTACATACCAGGAAGTAAGGAAAAGGTCAGTAGTGACAGGATTTTTCAGATGCCCCTTGCTTCATGCAGATGGGGCCATGGGAAAGCGGAGGCATGTGGTCAAGAGACAAGGATGTCTGCACCCCCAGAAGCTGGAAGGGGCAGGAAGGACCCTCCCCTGGGGCCTCCTGAGGGAACGTGGCCCTTCCAGATCTCAACTTTTAGACTGAACTAGAAAACATTCATCCCTGTTGCTTTAAGCCTCCTGGGTATTTTGTTGCAGCCAGTGCAGGATGTGAAAACACTTAGTAACTGCGAAGACTGAGAAGTGATGATTACTGTTTTCTCTGGCACTAGTTGGGTGTCTGATGTCTTGGGCATTAGGAACCCAGTGTCACCCGTGTTCTGGGAAGCTCCAGGCCTGGAGCAGTGGGAGAGAGGAGCGCCCATCAAATAAGCATTCAAAGAAAGCCACACTGCACCTGAGAGTCCAGATGTGGGAGGGGCTGGGACTGGAGGTTGGGCTGGAGAAAGCTTGTTGCAGAAATGACCTTTGAGCTAAGAGAGGAGATTGTGGCATGAGAAGGAAAGGGGCTGGGGAGGGCGGCGAAGGCTTCTAGCAACAGCGATGGCCAGGACAGACCCCGGGAGGCTGGAAACCTCCTGGTGTGTGTGAAGGAGCATGTCCCAGAAGGAAGCCAGAAAGCACACTTGAGAGGACTCCACAGGCTGTGCTGACCATCCCTGACCTGGTTCCCTCTGTTGTAGAGAGAAGCATCTTGTACACAGAACTCCTGGCCAGGCTCCACTTCTTCACCTCCTCACACCCGGCCCTGGTGGGACAGCTGTGTCAGCAGGCCCAGAGCTGGTTCCGACTGTGCCCACACCCTGTGCTGGTGCCTCTTGCAGGATTCCTGCAACCCCCAGGGGGCCCCCTCTGGGCGACCCTCACCGGCTGTCACAAAGGTGAGTCTCTGAGTAGCGAATATCCTTCCAGGCCTGGTCTTGCCTGTGGACAGCAGGCAGCAGGTGTTTCAAGCTAGTCTCTGGGGCTCCTCTTTGCCAGCTGAGGGGCCCCCAGGGTGCCATCAGGGCCTGCCCCTGCTGTCTCAGTCTCTCTGCCTCCCCCTGCCCCTGGGACTGTAGATTACAGTGTAAATACCACTAATGAGCCAGAGAGGGAGGATGTGACTGCCCTGCTGGGGTCTCACCTTTGGGGGTTTAGTTTTCATCTCACAAGACAGTGTCTGCAATTTACAGCTCATACTAGTAAGCCTGAAAGTTAGGCATTGAGGCTTAACTGTTCCTGGTGCAACTTGTAGATCCCCCTGGGACACGCAGCTGTCAGAGGGCAGGAGGGTTTCATTCTCTCCTTCCATCTGCCCCTCCCCCCACCCACCTCTCCCCTCCTTCTCCCTTCTGTTCCTCTATCTGTATCCATTCTTCTCCCCTTTTCCCAAATAAATGCCACTCATTGATTTGTTCCTTCCTTCCTCTACCCACCCATCAGTCTTCCATATTTCTGTGAGTTGTTCTTCCTTCCACACCTATATCCATACTATTTACTTTCTATCTCCTTCATCTACCCTGTCAATCCTCTTATCCTCCACCCATCCGTATACGCAACCATTCACCAGCTCATCCGTACATCAATTTTCCCGTCTATCCATTCACTCACCTACTCATTCACCAGCCGCCTATGTATCCACTTACCCACAATATACTTCCCTCAGTCACATCTTTATCTGCCCGCCCACAATCTCTCACATTAGTCATGAGTCCTTTAAATACAATTTGCTTATGATTCAAATGTCAGTTATTGTGACTTATACCACTTCTGCGTCACATGGCCCTATAGGGAAAGCCACAGTCTCAAGAAGACACACTGCTTCTAAAATAGGAATTCTAAGAAACACACCATGCACGGAGGAGTTGATTTAGGGACAGAATCATTCTAGAATGCTGTATTGAGAAGGAGTCTCTGGCTGAAACTGATTTAACAGGGTAAAGTATCTACTTGGTAGTATACAGAGTTAGATGCTGTAACAAAGGCCAAAATAGCAGTGATTTAAATAGAACAGTTCATTTCGCCCTCACGTAAGCATGGACAGAGGTAAGGTAAGGATGGCCCTTGGGAGTAGGGGAGGTTCCAGGCTTCCAGCCCCTCCCAGAGAGGGTGGAGCTGAGCAGGGAGGAGACTGGAGAAGGAAGCAGGATGGAGAGCCAGAGGGAGACCTGGAGGAGGCTCAAGGAGCAGAGAGACAGGTGAAGAGACTGCACTGGCTTCTTGGTCCTGGACTGGTTGAAACAGATGTGGGTGAGAGACCAGTGGGAAGGTTAATAAAGGCAATTTTTATCTTCATTTTGGTTTTGCTCCTTCTGTCACAGACGAGCTGGGGGCCCCTTCTTCCCCTGTCCTCAGGGGCTACCCTGTTAAAGTAATACAGTGTCTCCAGGCTGTGAAGGGTCGAGGCTCTTTCAGTCTGGACACTCTGCCAGTTGTTTTATATAAAGATTTATTTATTTATTTGTGCATACAGAACGGAGATATAGGCCAGAGGTGCAGGGGCAGTGAGAGGCTTCACCAGAGACAGAGTGGGGAGCAGAGCAGGCCTACTGGCGAAGTACACTGCTGAGGGGAGCAGTGGGCGGGTCAGGAGAGGTCTGTGGTGCCGTGTGGGTCACCTCCAGGGCGGGGATTGAACTCATGCGGAAGTGGCTTTAGCTTCTCAGTGCTGTGCTTCAACCCGCTGCACCACCAAGGAGGGCCTGACACTCTGCCAGTGTTAATGTGACCTTACACTTTATGACCCAGGAGGGTTGCCTCGGCTCTTAATTAACCATCTTGCCGGCGTTCTAGTAAGAAGGGGCCACACAACACTTCCCTTTAAGGGTAAAATCTTGAAATAGAACTGTGGCTTCTGCTTCTGTCTTTTTGGCAAGAACTTGGCCATATCCAACTGCCAGGGAGTGTGGAGACCACAGGCATGCCTCAGCGGTGCCTAGGGCTCAGTTCCTACCACTGCAGTGAAGCAGGTATTGCCAATTCAGTGAGTCGCACAGTCGTTTGGTTTTCCAGTGCATGTAGAAGTTATGTTTACATTATACCATGGTCGAGTAATGTGCCTATGTCTACAGAAGCAGAGTGCATCTCTTAACGATATGTGACAGAGACAGGAGGGGACACACAGCTGGAAACAGCAGCCATAGTGTTACTCCATGAAGGATTGTCGCACAGTCCTTTGCTTTGTAAAAATCACATATGTGAAGCCCAGTAAAATGAGATATGTCTGCCTGGTCTTGGCCTACATTAAACATGCACTCAGCTAAATCTTGTGGGAAGAATCCAGAATGATGACTGGGACAAGCCACAATAGTGCAGCCATTGACTAGTGATGTCTTCCATGGCTTCACAGTAGGAAATTACAGCTTAACGTGCAATTTAGTCTTTTTGTCATCTCACGGTTAGGGAAATGTTTTGTGGTTTAGACCCATGGTGCCTCATTGTGTAGGTTCTAACTATGCGGAGGTTGAAAAATTTCCTACTGGGCTTCAGTTTTGTTATTTATTTATTTATAAATGTTTTACTTTAAAAAAATATTTATTTATTTATGCATACAAGAACTGGGGTACAGGCCAGAGGTGTAGGGGGTGAGAGGATTCACCAAAGAGAGAGTAGGGAGCAAAACAAAACAGGTAGATTGACTGAAATACACTTTGGAGGGGAGCAGCAAGCAAGACAGGAGAGGTCTGCTGTACCCCATGGATCAGCTTCCTGGCCTGGGATCCATCTCCTGCTGTAGTGGCTGCCGATAGCTCTATCGTGCTGTGCTTAACCCCTTGTACCACCAGGGAAGGCCCAACATTGTCATTTTTTGAATGAGAAGTTTACATTTGTGTTTTTAAGATCACACATTAAGTGAATGATCAGAAAGACGAGGGAGAAAAATTAAATAAATAAGAGAAAAATGAATCCTATCTCTTCATTCTTGGTTCCAATGGGTTGGAAACAAAACCCCAGATACAGGAATTTAGCTCCATTTCAACACCCTGGTCCCCATTTGTGACAACCCAAACTATCCCCAGACACTGTCACCCAACCTCCTGAGAACAGTGTCACCCCTGGGTGAGAACCACTGAACTGATGACCTAGATGTGTTATTGTCCCTAAGAGCAACATAAATAACAGCCCAGGTGTGAATCTGGCATCTGTCAGTGCTGGCCTCAAACTCTGGCTCTGCCACTTCTGGGTATGTGGCTCTGGACTAAAAAACTGAACTATATGTGCCTCCGTTTCCTCATTTGTGAGTGGGGGCCCACCAGAAGACCTGTGGCTGGGCACTCAGACATGAGAACTGACTGATGTTTTGTCTCTGCGGCTGCAGGCATCACCTCCATGGCATGGAGCCTGGAGGAGAGGCTGCTGGTGGTTGGTACTCAGGATGGCATGGTGGTCGTATGGGACATGGAAGAACAGCAGGCGAGCCACATCCTAACTGGACACACAGGTGAGGTTGCGGGGGGCGGGGAGGGAGCCGGCAGTGAGTAGGCGTTTACTGTCTACCTTTCCTAGCGTCCTGTCACAAATGACCATCCCCACCAGTTCATTTCTTTCTACCCTTGACTTCTTTCCTGCCATCAGTCAGCTGTAGCCTTATAACAAAGCACCACAAGTCACATAGCTTCTAACAATAGCTCTTTATTGAACTTACCTGCTGTGGGTCAGACATTCTGGAAGTTTTGGTCTCAGCAGGCTGGCTCATACATCTGTGTCAGTGGGGCTTTGGGGAGCTGCTCAGTTCAGGATGTTCTGAGACATCTCAGCTCTGCTCCATGCAGTCTCTTGTGCACTAGCAGGTTAATTGGGCAGAGACAGGGTCTCTTAAGGCCTGAAACTGTCCTTGCAACTCGCACCCTGGCCTGTCACATTCTATTAGCCAAAGGAAATCATAAGAACAGTCCAGAATTAATGGAAAGGAAATAGTTTCATCCTTGTGAGAAGCAAAACCCACTAAAAAAAGGCAAAGATATCAGAGAGATTATAGTTATTTATTCAATTAGTCTACTACAGTAAAGTTTCCAGTCCTCAAAGCCCCATACAGCTATGGTTCATACACTCAATCAGTTATTGAGTGCCTGGTGTATACCCTACTGTTCTGAAGACAAGCATGGCAAGGCAGAGATGAGGGTGAGAAGATCCAGGCACACACTGTGTGCAAAATTCGAGTGGTACCCCCTCAATTTTTAAAAAATAATATGTTTATTTTTACATCATTTTGTGCCTTTTCCCATCTCAGTTGTAATCCCCGTGGGCTTCCCATCACCAAATCACCCGTGTGCCGTCACCATAGTCTAGTGCACTCCCACCTCACCATTTCTGACCCCACTCCCCACTCCACCCCCATAAAATGTCTCTGGTATATAGCTGTTCATCATTATTATTATTTTCTCCCTTGGTCCTTCATACTCCTGCTATGAGTGAAACCATCCAGTATTTTTCCTTTTCTTTCTGGCTTATTTCACTAAGCATGGTCCTTTCCAGCTCCATCCATGTTGCTGCAAAAGGCATGTGTTTATTTTTTTTGGTTGCTGAGTAATATTCCATTGTGTATATGTATCACATCTTTTTATTCCAGTCAACCACTTTTGGGCATTTGGGTTGGCTACATGTCTTTCCGATTGTAAATAAAGCAGCAGTAAACATGGGGGTATCCCCCAATTTTTTTTAAAGATTTATTTTATTTATTCGTACAGAACTGGGGTACAGGCCAGAGATGCGGAGGGTGAGAGGATTCACCAGACACAGAGTGGGGTACAGAACAGGCAGATTGACGAAGTACACTGCTGAGGGGAGCAGTGGGCAGGTCAGGAGAGGTCTGCCTCACCATGTGGTCACCTCCGGGGCAGGTGGGGATCGAACTCATGCTGAAGTGGCTTAAGCTTCTTAGTGCTGTGCTTTAACCCGCTGCACCACCAGGGAGGGCCTATCCCCCAATTTTTAAAGACAAAAATACCATCATGAAGAGAAAGAAAATTTCAATGCAATGTCATAAAAAAAAAAAAGAAAAAAAAAACCCTCAGTGAATAAATATCAACTTACCTTAAAAACAGGGTAAGTGATAACGCTGTGTCAAATGACTGGGAAACTCAGTCATTTGTGTTCTTAAATTTTATGTTAGTCAGACTAATGTACTTGAGATGGCAACAGGACAAACTGTGGCTACAAACCATGATGGGTAGAATGAGGAAAACAGGATGTCCTGATCTCCAGTCACCAAAGTGACCCAAGGTGACCCTCATCTCAGCACAGACACAACAAGTGTGACTGACAGACGATGCTTACAAAGGTTGGGGGAGCAGGAGGAGAGCCTCAGGAGCAGGAGGCAGCCAGGGCAGAGGCCCCAGTGGGGAGAAGGAGGCTTTTACACAACGCAAAGGCTCCTTGAGGCTGGGACTCGGGAGGGACATCACATCAAATGGAAGAAGCCAGTCACAGCAGGCCACACGGGGTGTGATCTGTTTATATGACTTTCCAGAACAGGCAAATCCATGGACAGACAGCAAATGGGTGGGTGTCAGGGAGACGCGAATGACAGCCCACGGGGCTGGCTTGGTGTCTCCTTTAGGGGTGATGGAATGTTCTGGAATCAGAGGTGATGTCGTACAACATTGTGAATGTACTAGGTGTCACTGTATTATAGACTTTAAAATGGTTAAAGCAATAGAGAGAAGGAAGGCAGTAGTGATGGCATTTTCAGACTATGGAAATATTCTAACTATAGCCTGCAGTGAGGGTTGCACAGCTCTGGGAACACACAAAAACCAGGGAATTGTACTATTGTGCACACAAAGAGGTGCATTTTATGCTGTAAGTTATCCCTCAGTAGATATGCTGAAGCCTTTATACCACTGCAAAGTAAGCACATACACCGTTTTATTTTTTTCTCATCATAAACATTTTTTTATTTCTGTTGAATTTCTTTAAACAACTTTTACCCGTTTGAAATACACATCAGTAGACTTTAAATAAATTTACCAAGTTGTTAGACCACTGCCATAATTTTGGAACTTCCCTTCACCTGCTGCATTGCTTAATCCCATCCCTGCCCCCCACTCCCAGCTCTTGACAACCTCTGATTTTTTTTTTTACCTGTAGATTTGCCTTTTCAGGACATTTCATGTAAATGAAACTGTTTCTTGTGTCTGACTTCTTTCATTCAACATCTGTATTGTACATGTGTAAATTTTTTTTCCCTTGAATTACTGAGTCATATGCCATTATATGAGAGGTCCAGTGTATTTATCTATTTATCATTGTAAATGTAAAATGCAGTGTTATTTGAAGGGTGATTACATTGCTTCCAATTTGAATTTAAACCTTTTCAAAACAAGAAACATCGCTGTGATCCATCACATCTTCGTCATAATGTTTAGATGATTCCATCTTGGAGCCTCCCTGGGCCTCCCTAATGGCACAGGGGTTAAAAGTCTCAGCACTATCCACGGGGATTACAACTGAGATGAAAAAAAAATGTACAAAATGATGTAAAAATAAACTATTATATTATAAAAAATAATAAAAAAAATCAATAAATAAAAAAAAGAAAGAAAAAAGAAAACATCTCAGCACTATCAAGCTATCACCAGCCACTGCTGCACGAGTTTGATCCCTGGCCAGGGAGCTGACCCACATGGCCCAGCAAACCCCTCCTGTCTAGCCCTCTGCTCCACTCAGCAGTGTATTTCACTAGATCCACCTGTTCTGCTCCCCACTCTGTCTCTGGTGAATCCTCTCACCCTCTGTACCTCTGGTCTACATCCCAGTTTTTGTATGCATAAATAAATAAAAATAAATCTTTAAGAGAAAAGAGTTCATCTTCACAATAGATGATGTTCTGGAATTCCGAAACTATTAATTTTTTTCACTATGAGACTATTTGTATTTATCTGTAATGTGGGTAATACTAGGATGAATCTCTTTTCTCTTATTTCCTATCTCACTACAGGAGAGGTGAGGTGTGTTAAAGTGTTTACCAAAGGGACTCAGGCCATCTCTGCCTCAAGGGACCACACTTTGCGCTCATGGGACTTGCTGTCTGGGAAGGAGAAATTCATAATTTGGGATGGAGGCTCAAAAGATCCTACTGACCCTCAGCTCTGGAGTCTTCATGTGGATGAAGAAAAGAAGGTTGTGTTTTCAGCTTCTGGCTCAAAGGTAACAAATGTCTGCCCTGATTGCAAAAGAATGCTGAGACCAGCATATTCAGAGTCAGAATATGCTATTTCTGTAAGAAGGAACTCCCTGATAAGGCAAAAAAGGTAAAAGGAGTACACAACAAGTTGAGGGGTACTATAAGGGGTTTCAGACTTCATGGTTGGTAAGATAATCTGGACAATTCTTTCTAAGCCTAAGATTTGAGACCTTCTGTCTTTTTCAATGCAGTCCTTTAGTGCTACAAGTTTCCCTGTGAGTACTGCTTTACCTACATCCCACAAACAGGGAAATGCTATGTTTTCATCTATGTCCAGTTCAAAAATACTGTCAGATTTCCTTTTTTATCGCTTCTTTGGTCCATAGGCTATTCTTAAGTTGTGCTATTTGTTGCCAAATACCTAAGAAATTCCCTGATAGCTTTCTTTTATTTATTTATTTAATGTCATTTAAATTATATGAATTGAGACTTGGTTTATGGCCTCTCTTGATAAATGCTCCATCTACATCTGAAATTGATACAGATTCTGCTATTATTCTATTCTGTCAATCTTAACCCTATAATTGATCATTTTATGAACAGAGACACAAAATAGAATCATGGGTTAAGAGTTAATAACTGAACATGGGGGAGTATATTTGTAATCTGAATTTGGCCCAGTGATTCCTTCCATGCATGCGTGTCATCTTGGTCATATCATTTCAGCACCCTGACTCAACTTACCACTACCACATGAAGTAATGACTCAAAATACCTGCCTTGACTTGGCATGTTGTATGCACCAAATAATTAGTACCTATTAATTAGGATACTTTATTAGTAATTGGTAGCTATTAACATCAGTAAAACTGGTAACTTATCAGCTCTGCTGTTTAATTCTGGGATTCACTAGTCAAGTGTGACTACTGAGTACTTCAAGTATGTTCATTCTGGAAGAGAGATATGCTGACCACTATACCAGCAACACCTCTAAATGTGGTTGTTTGGATTGAATGTACCATAGGAAGAAAGCAATCACTAGATTTCAAAGATGTATTATAAAAACAATGTAAAATAGGCCCTCCCTGGTGGCGCAGCGGGTTAAAGCACTGCACTGAGAAGCTTAAACCACTTCCGCATGAGTTCAATTCCCGCCTGCCCCGGAGGTGACCACATGGTGTGGCAGACCTCTCCTGACCCGCCCGCTGCTCCCCTCAGCAGTGTACTTCGTCGATCTGCCTGTCCTGCTCCCTGCTCTGTCTCTGGTGAATCCTCTCACCCTCCGCGTCTCTGGCCTGTACCCCAGTTCTGTATGAATAAATAAATAAATCTTAAAAAAAAAAAAAAAAAAAAAAAAACAATGTAAAATAGTTCCCTAGAAATTCTATGTTTATCATAAATTGAAATGATAACATTTGGACATAGTTAAATTAAAATGTTATTTAACATTTTGCTTCTTTTTACTTTTTAAGAGATGATTAGAAAAGTTAAATTTAGTTGTACACATTTTAAACATTGATTTCAAAATTGATTATAGAAATCATTTTTTATCAGCAAAAGTTTACAAGAACAACAACAAAAAAAATCCAAAATTAATCATTTAACATTTATGTGCTTTTACTTTATTTGGTGTCCATGTTAATTTTATGGAGTATGTGCACAGGTATAAAACAAAAATGGGGATAAGACCCTACATTCATTTTGTAAAACAGCTTTCTCCACGTAATATGTCAAGAATATTTGCCTATAACCATAAATGTGCTTACCAATTTCTTAAATTCTATTGCCTGGTTCTGCTACAGCTTATTTAAGGAATCCTTACTGTCAGACATATACGCTGTTTCCAATTCTTTGTGCTTTTGAATAACTGAAATAAATGTGTAAATGATGAAAACTTTTGATTCCCCCAAAACATAACTACTAATAGCTTCCTGTGACCAGAAACCTTACAAGTAGCACGATCAGTCAATTAAGACTGTTACATTCACCATATTTCATATGTTGCACGTATTATATTATATACTATGCTCTTACAAAGAAGTAAGCTAGAGAAAATAGAATGTTATTAAGAAAGTCATACAGAACAGAAAATGCTTCTAGAGTGTTGTATTCAAACATACCATAAGTTAATACTGTCTGTTTAAAAGAAAATCCACATACAAGTGAGTCTGTGAAGTTTAAAACCATGTGGTTCAAGGATCAGCTGCATATGTGTGTGTAAGTGTGTATCTCTCCATTGTTTTTGGTGTAAACCCCAGAAGTAGAATTAATCGGCAAATACTTAGTAGGTTATTGCTGATAAAAAGATACTTTTCTGGTGAGGCTAAACATGAAACCTATTTTAACCATGGAGATATATGTGAATGCATTTGGCATGTTCTTCCCTCCTGGTCTCCCCCCCCCTACATTTTTAAAAACATTTTATTTAGGACAATATTAGATTTATGGAAAATTCATAAAGATACTATGGAGAGTTCCTTGATGCTATGGCTTTGATCCAGCCTCTTCAGTGTCAACAGCTTTGATAGTGGTAATTTCTATCAGCCTAATTTCAGAATTTGGATTCGTCAATTTCTCCACAAATGTCCTTTTAAATATCCCAGGATCCAACCCAGGACACCTGGATTGGACACCACTCCTTTATTAATTTTTGAAACTGGTAGAGTCTTGAAGATATATGTGTGAACTATAAAACAAGACCAGGGCTTGCATTCAGCTCTGGGACACTTACCATCTAATTCTCCCACTGATATGTCTCTTCCTGATCATCATTCCTTTAGATCAATGCATGGAATCTGGAAACCGCAGAGCTGGTTTTCCGTATCCTGGGAGACGTTGCTGATCCCTGGATGTGCATGGCAGCCTTGGCTTCCAGGACCATACTCCTGACAGTGTCTGAGGCTGGTGTGGTCAGTACGTGGAGCGCCACCACAGGAAAGCTGCACGGCAAGCAACATTTGTCCAGCGTCAAAGAAGAAGCACCTACTTGTGGGGTCTCAATCCAGAAACAGGGAAAGATGGTTACTGGATTCAGCCAGGGCTCCGTATCTTTGGTAAGCAACTTTACTGTATATGATGCTAACATCAACTCAGCACAAAAGGACCCAGATGTCCAATAAGTTGGGAGAGACCGTCTCAAGTTTGATATATTTTTTAAAAAAATATTTATCTATTTATGCATACAGAACTGGGGTACAGGCCAGTGGTGTGGGGTGGTGAGAGGATTCACCAGAGATAAAGTGGGGAGCAAAACAGGCAGATAAATGAGGTACACTGCTGAGGGGAGCCGTGGGCGGGCCAGGAAAGGACTGCCACACCATGTGGATCACCTCCAGTGTGGGGATCGAACTCATGCTGAAGTGGCTTTAGCTTCTTATTGCTGTGCTTTAATCTGCTGCACCACCAGTGAGGACCCTGATCTTTTAATAAATGACTCGTGGCTTCTTAATTCTCGCAGTTCATAATTCAGCACAGTTCAAGAAACATCTAAGGGTCTCCTGGAGTCTGGCCAATGAGACAATTATCACAGTTTGCTCCGCTGTGCTTCTGGCCCACCCTGAGCGATGGTTCTGGAAGAGTCTGCAGAGATGTCCACACTGGACATCTATGGAGAGTTCCTACCCAGCTGGTTCCATCAATGGTTGGGTGGTAAAGCATTAACATAAGGCCAAATGTTCTGGTAGGATCAGGGAGAAGGTCAGAAGCAGCAACAACAGCAACCCAGGTTGGAGGTGCAGGAACAAGGTTAGCAGCTTTCAGGAGTAGAGGAGAATGGTGAGAGGACATAGACAGGGCTCCAACAGTGACGCGTGGAGAGCCAAGGGCCATCCGGGTACTGGAGGGGCCTCGTGCACAGTAGCCCAAGTCTGCTAAAGGAGCTCAGCCTATGGAGGGAGGTGGGTTGTCAATGACACGGTCGTACTGAGAGGCAGAGCCTGCTTACGGTAGAGAGAGGCAGGGTGTTCTCGGTGAAGAACACTACTGAGAGAGGCCATCTGGGAAGACCTTCCTGGGGAGGCAGCCTTGGAACAGGATGGTAAAGGTGGGAAAAGTGGAGAGCAAGGGAATGGGGGAGGTCACGGGAGAAGGAGGACTGTGCCTGGTATTTCAAGGAAATAAGAGGCAGAGTGGGGTGGATTGCACCTGCTGAGAAGGTGAGGGCTTGAAGGGAGGAGGGGATTATAACAGCTAAATATTCATCCAAAAGCTTCATATATCTGGAACTTGTGGCCTTAGTGCCTCCCTGGGTCTCCCTGGCACAGGCACTAAGCACCACAATGAAAGAGAAACTTATTCCTGTCATGGGGTCTCTCAGTCGTTTAATTGTACTCCTTTTTCATTCTCTGATTATTTTTAATAGACCTAGAAAGAATGTCAACTTTGGGATCAGACACACTTGAGTTTGAAAATCCATCTTAACTTTATTTTTGTGTACTTTTTAAGATTTATTTTATTTATGTATGCATTCAAAATCCAAGGGTATGTGTGTGGTGGGGGGGAGGGAGGGTGGGTACGAAGATTCACCAGAGACAGAATGGGGAGTAGAACAGGCAGATTGACTAAAATACACTGCTGAGGGGAGCAGTGGGTGGTTCAGGAGAGGTCTGCCACACCATGTGGGTCGCCTCCCTGACCAGGCATTGAACAGCAGTAACTGCTGATAGCTTCATAGTGCTGAGGTTTAACCCCTTGCACCACCAGGAAGGCTCCTTTGTCTTTTTTTTTTTTTTTTAAAGATTTATTTATTTGTTCATACAGAGCTGGGGTACAGGCCAGAGGCTCAGGGGCGGTGAGAGGCTTCACTAGAGACAGAGTGGGGAGCAGAACAGGCAGATCGGCGAAGTACACTGCTGCGGGGAGTAGCAGGCAGGTCAGGAGAGGTCTGCCACGCCATGTGGTCACCTCCGGGGCAGGCGGGAATCGAGCTCATGCGGAAGTGGCTTTTAGCTTCTCAGTGCTGTGCTTTAACCCGCTGCGCCACCAGGGAGGGCCTCCTTTGTCTTTAATTGATTATATTTTGGAGTTAGCACAGCACCTTCTGTGAGCCTCAGTTTACCCATCTATAAGATGGGTGGGGGAATGGCACCTACATCCAGAACCAGAACAAGGGGTAGGCAGACATGCCCAGGCTTCCAACCCATGGAGATGGGGACACTCAGATGTCACTAAAATGAAGTAGAAATATGATGCTTGTTCAACTCATTTCTCCCTGTACAACCCATGTTTGGTGCCCATCTCTGTCTCTTCAATAGTCTCTATTCTTGAAGCTGTTCTTCTGTCAGTCCCAAGTATAGTGATGGTAACATCTTCTGTTAAGCACACATCACTCTCAAGAAGCTGCAAAGATATTTTCACATCACTCACTGGGTCCCTATTTATGGCTGAGCCAGCTTTTGTGGATATTATTATTATGACTGCATGATGCACTTCAGCAAGAAACCATCAGGGAACTTTTAGGAGCAAGATTTATTACTCTCAGTTCCTGAAGATGCCAGCACACGTGAGGACCACATGGTTAGGTCTTGGGGGAGTCAGGAAGAGAAAAGGCTATGAAAGACAGAACCTGGCCTCTTCATTTGCTAGAATCTGAGGGTGGGCTGTCTAGGGTCCACTCTTATTGGCAAATTTAAAAGATATTACCTAGAATTAGGGCAAGGGAAAGGAGAGGTGGGTCACTCAAGTGGTCAGTTATCTAGGTCACCCAGGGCTTTCTGAAAGGAGGAACTTCACAGGTGGTGTAGTCTAATTCCTAATCTGGTTAATTTATTGGTAGTGGTTCCATGCATCTGGTGATATGTTTATTCAAGATGGATATATTTGAAATATCTCAGCGAGCAAAATCGTTGTGTCAATCACTTGCATTACAGCTGCATATCTGCAACTCTACCCCTGGGTTGTTTCTTTGATGACTCCCCTTTGTGTCCCTCCCCCTCCCCATACACACATAGCACTCTTAGACTTTGTGTTAATGCTGCTGGAAGCAGCCCTTATCCAGCCACTTATGGAGCAGGTGGATAGAACCCCAGGTCCTGGCCCCTCTATAGGGAAACCTGGGGCATATTCTACATTCTCTCTCAGAGCAGCCTCAGCAGAACTGAGTCCCCCAATAGTCCACACTGGTTACTGGCTTGATGAGTCACATTTACCGGATGCTTTCCCTTCCCTATCTCAATTCTGTGGTGTCTAACAGTACTTCCTGAGATCAACTCCCAAGTAAATTACTTGCACCCAAATACTATTTTCAGCATTTTTCTGAAACAACCAAACCACATTCCTGGCAAAATGTTTATATTAGGGCAGAAAATTGCAGGCAGGACTGGAAGCTAATCCTTAACATCCCAGAGTGTTGTAAAGTAGAAATAGCAATCTCATGATTCAGAAAGCTGGTGGTTAGGCTGTAAGAGATAGGGGTTCTGGAATCTGACCAGTGCTCAGATCTCAGCCCTGCTGCACGGAAAGTCTTGATATCACCCTCAAAACATTAGAAGGTAGTAGTAAAACAAAATTAACTAAGACACAATCAAACCCAACAATCAGACCCAGCAGAAGTGCAGATGAGATTGATTTGGAATCCTCTAACTAAAGGCCCAACAGAAAAGTGTGACTTTTTCTCTGGGTAAATATTATTTTACACTCTACTGTTATTTTACATACAATGCCCAATATAACACAAAAATTATGACACACAAGAGAAGCAAGTGGCACCATAATCAGAGTGAATCAATCAGTAGAACACACAAATGATTCAGATGTTAAAATGATCAGAAAGAACTTCCAAATATTTAGGATAATGTGTGAACAGATGGGGACATTTCAAAATTCAAACTAGAGAGAAGGATCAAATGGAAATGCTAGAAAAGAAAAAGAAGAATGTCAAAAATGAAGAATTCGTTTGATGCACATAAGAGTACATTAGTCATTAGAAAAAGATCAGTGAATTAAAGACAAATTAGTGGGAATTATAATATAAATATAAAGGATAAACATGAGTGGCAATGGAATTAAGCATCTGAGAGTTGTGAGACATTGCCAGATGATTAAAAGTACAGTCAGAATCTCTGGAAGAAAGCAGAGAAAGAGAATGCAGCAAAATAAATATTTGAAGTGGGAATGGAAAAAAAAATTCCAAAAATTTATGCAAGATACAGTCCACAGATCCAAAAGCTCATACAGCCTTCAGCAGGGTCAAAAGAAAGAGAACTTCATTTTGGCAATCAGAATCAAACTGCTGAAAAACAAAAGATAAAGAAAAAAATTCAAGCTGTCAGAAGAAAAAAGACCCATTCCTTTTAATAATTCTCCATAGTAAGAATTGTAGCTGACTTTTTATCAGAAATTATGAGGACAGAACACAATGGAAACGATGGGGGATAAATAATAAAACCTGTCAAGCTACCCACCCAGTTATTTTTATTTTTTATTTTTAAAGATTTATTTGTGCACACAGAACTGGGGTACAGGCCAGAGGCTCAGGGGCGGTGAGAGGCTTCACCAGAGACAGAGTGGGGAGCAGAACAGGCAGATTGACGAAGTACACTGCTGAGGGGAGCAGCGGGCGGGCCAGGAGAGGTCTGCCACACCATGTGGCCACCTCCGGGGCAGGGAGGGATCGAACTCATGCTTTTAGATTCTCAGTGCTGTGCTTTACCCCGCTGTGCCACCAGGGAGAGCCCCACCCAGTTATTTCAAGTTTATCCTTCAAAACTAGAGATAAAATAAAGATATTTTTGAGGCAAACAAAAGCTGAGTGAATTTGTCTTCAACTACTTGGCACTGTTAGAAATGCTAGAAAGAAGTTCTTTAGGCAGAAGGGCTATCCTGTCATGTCATGACATTTCCAGGAACCATGGACCACATAGGTGACAGGTCTCCTAATAGGCTCGGTATACAGTGGTGATTGTGTGATTACAGTCGATGATGGTCACAGAGGATGAAATTGCCTAATGATGAAATTCTTACAACATACCCCCATCATTATAGCCTGACTATAATATCAGATGGAAGCCCAGTGAACAAAGGACACTGAAAAGGGCAAACAGAAGAGAAAAAGAATGGTCAAAGCTGTGGAGTAGGAAAGTCAGAATAAAGACAAGGAGCCTGAATGAGGAGGTTCCCTAAATCTCTAGAACAATCTGGTTGCAGGAGGAGCATCTGTGGGCCATTAGACCTGCGAACTACAAAATGGCCGTTGTAGGGATGTCAACCAAGAGTCTTGTATTGAAATGGCATAAACTTACAACGAAGATTTAAAAATATATAGTAGGACACCATCTTGCTCTGATAGAAATTAACATACACATACTGGTTCAGGCACAACTGTAAGGTTTCATGTGCTAGTTTCATGGGACAACTCCAGACTCAAACACTCATTTTGAGCCCAGAGAGCTGACTGTGACTTGCCTTTGTTCATTTAAATTCTCTGAAAGTTTGAAACTGACTCATGCACGGAGTGATGCTTTTTACCAGGAACAGAAATGTTATTTTATTATCTAAATGTTGATGTTTTTAAAACTCCCAGGAGTTGACTGGTTTAGAAAAGTGCTTGTAATGGAGCTCTTATTTTGAACATAAAAGTGAATATTTTTATGAAAAGAAAGTCCATTTCTAGCTCCTATTGTACTTCTTCATGGGAGTATTCATTGGGGAGGCCCTTAGGAACACAATTTTGTACTGTTGATCAAAATAAAAAATTACACTCAAATCCAGCAATCCTGCATCGTGGAATTTCTAACTTCTTGCACATGTGCACAGCTGTGAACTTGATGTAGGTGAACTTGAAATATAATTGTAAAAGTATTCAGTCTTATTTTATGTGCAACTTTGAAGTAGGGAAACATGAAAAAAAATTTTCAACTTTGCTCACTGTCTCGTGAACGACAGTACACTGTGTCTGCTTGAGCATACGTGGGGCACTGTAGTGGTGGGCAGAGACGCAGACTGCCCTTTATCGGTGACGCCGACTGCCCTTTCTCGGTCCAGGGGAAAATCCTGTTCAAATCTGACACGTTTCATAGTATCTGAGGGCTTCAGAAATGCACCCCTGTGTTAAAATAAGACCAGCCTAGATAATATTTGCTGCAGTATTATAATATGTCATAACAGAGCATGATCTCGAATGTCTCTTCACAGGAAGCAGTGAGGTGAATGTTCGCTATTACGGGAGATTCTATAGCTCTAAAAAATCAGATAGGCTTGAGCAGCTGTCAGCAGCCTGTGCTCTGCTGCCTATTTCTGTCCATCCCTGAATGGTTCTGTGATTCAAATGGTTGAGAGATTAAACAAATCATAGTATCGTGATGTGAAAATTCCATGGACTCAACATTTCAGTGTCCACCAATGAAGTTTTATCTGGGTACAATCATGCTCATTTGTTTTCATATCGTCCTTGGCTATGCTAGAACAGTAAAGTTGAGGTAGTCTGCATGCAAAGCTTAAAGCATTTGCTGTTTCCTAGGACAGTTTGCTGACTGACTCCTGGCCTTGAGGTGCTTTAAAGGACATACAGAGTTTCACATAGTTCTCACTGCATAGTAAACATTAGGCAGGGACTTTCTATTTGTCAACTTTTAACCTTAAAAAAAATGCTAAGATGTACCTTCTGCCATTATCTCTGTTACAGATAGACAAACTGTATTTATCTGGCACCAACCTATTTCCATCTTTCTTGAGATCTCCAGAGCGCCTCTGGGGACAGGTGCTAGAATGTTCTCAGAGCCCCTGAGTTAGTTACAACACCTTCAGCAGTGATAATAATAACTATCAGTTTGGGAGGGCTGCTTTTGTGTATGTGCGCTATAGCCCTGGGAGATGATCCTGGTATTGACTCCCACTTAATAGGTGAGGGAACTTAGGCACCAAAATGAGGAAGGTTGCTTAAGGTCCCAGAGTCAGTGAGTGGCAGAGCCCTGTGGCAAATTCAAGCCCCTCACCTTGAACCCTTAACCCTATGGAAATGTTTGATGGGCATTCTTGACTCTGCACAGGTTTCCTCTGAAGGAGACAGACTGCTGGAGAAGCTTCCAGAAGCTGTGGGGTTCCTGGTGGTCTCTGAAGATGACTCCCTTCTTGCTGCAGGTAACTTTGAGCTGTTTTGGGTAAAGAGGAGACAGCTCTGGATTTGGTTACTTCAACCCTGCCCTTGAAACTTAAAATCCCCCCTCCAGGTGGTTGTGTTCTATGTGCCAATGCAACTTTATGGGTGCTGAAATATGAATTCTTTTCATGTCATTTTCACACATTTTCATGTCACCTCCACACAATAGTAATCTTACGTTGATTTTTTCCCAATTACTTAAAACTGCAAAAACTAGTCCTAGCTCATGGGCCATACAGAAGTAGGTAGCATTCAGTTTTGGCCCGTGCACTAGGTTAAGACCCTGCTTTGGACTAGCATTTTCTAGCATTTTTGAGCTTTGGATTGGTAATCTTTAAAATGGCAGTTCTCTCTTCTGGATAGTCACAAGATAGAGGAGGTCTGAGTGCACTGAGAGTAAGTAACCGACCTAACCTCTGCCTTCAGGGAGTTACCCGCTAGCAGGAAAGATGGGCAACTAGCTAGCCACAACCTAGAGAAGTTGGTGACATAAGACAAGATTAGGGTCAATACAGGGTTCCCTTCCTTAGTCAAAACCTATCAGGGAAAGCTTGCCAGCAGAGGTGACCAACAGATACTCCGTAGGCTGAATTTTGGGGGGATCCATTTAAGGTTCACAACCAAATGGAGCAGAAGATAGCGTGATTTTCCATGTAACCCCTAGCCATGCCCCATACACAAGCTTCCCCCACCATAAATTCAGCAGTGGATCGTGTATTTGTTACAACTGATAAACCCACATGGACATTGTATCTCGCAAAGTCCACAGTTTACTTTGGGTGTTGTACACTCTCTAGTTGTGGATAAATGTATGATAATGCGTATCCATCACTATAGTATCATACAGGGTATTTTCACTGCCCCCAAAGCATTATGATTTTATGAAGCCATTTCCAGGGTTCAAAAACATGTTAGACCAGTGTTGACCATAAGTGACACATGACGCTGCCCAACTTTTTGCTGGGTTCTGTGACATCATGATAAACCCAAACAGATTGGAATCTCCCTCTTGTGAAACTGTTGATGACTGGTAACCCTCCACCACTGCCACCAACTGTAGGCTATGTGAGGGTGAGGTTGTATCTATCTTGTTCACCACTTGCACATTGTAGGTACCCAGAAAACTCATTATTGAACTGAATTTCTTTCAAGCTCCTCAAAGAATGAAGGGCATCACCTAGTCCCTGTTGTTTCAGGCTTTGGAAGATCTGTGCGGATATTCTTGGCAGACTCACAAGGATTTCATCGATTCATGGCCACTGACCTAGAACATGAGGACACGGTAGAGACGGCTGTCTTCGGTCCTGACAACAATCTGATTGTCACTGGTTCCCGAGATGCACTCATTCAGGTGAGGGGGTGATGTATGACCCTCATCTCCCCCTTTGGAACAGAAAGTATAATTCTTTAGGAATCTTTGATGTTAAAATACAAAAGCAAATGAAGGTAAAATACAAAAACAAATGGAGGATGGAGAGGAGGGGTCTCTCATGGAGACCCCGAGAGGGACATATCCAGTGTTTAGTGAAGGAAACAGTATCTCCACCAAACAGGGACACCTGGGAGGGTTTGGGCCTTTGGAGTGGAGCAGGGTTGGGGGCAAGAGAGAGGAACATTAAGCTCAATGTTCTGAAAGCTGAAGAGAAAGCATGTGATAAATAGCAAATAAGTAACAGATTACTAACATCCTGGTCACCAAATGTTTCACATTCCTGAAGAGGCCCTCTGAGAACTTTCTTCATGTAGGTCATAACAATTTGAATTTATATGTTTTGAACAAATGATTTATTTTGGAAAAAATTTTAGGATTTACAGAGCAGTTACAAAGAGAGCATAGAGTCCCCGTATAGACATCTTCTTCACCTGGCCTTCCCTGATAGCAACATTTCAAATTATCAAAACCAAGAAATTAACACTGAACAATACCATGAACTCATCTCCCAATTTCATTCTTTCCCACAAACATCCTATTTTTCTTTCCCACCAAAATCTTATTTTTCTTTTGGATTCCAGGATCCAATCCAGGATCCTACATAGCATTTAGAATCTATTGATAATTACCATATTAAAAATTAGAGGTGAGACCTCTGTGACATAACTATAAAAAGTATTGTGATTGTGAATATCTTGAACAACTGTTAGAATCATCACATAAAAATTGCACTTGAGTTAGTGGGAAGTAGAATTAAACTGGTTCTATATTGTTGCTGCTGTCAAGTAGAAATCATGAAATATTGCCTATGACAATCATAATCATAGTCTATGATTAAGAAAATGTTTCATTTTATTGTCTATTTAACTAAAAATTAAAGGTAAAGACTAAATACAAAAAAAAAAAATCAGAGGTGAGAATATCCCAATGTATTTTCCCATTACTTCATTAACAATACATGTGGACATAATAACATACTTCTGTGGAAATTACTCTATTTCCTGAAGTAAATATGGAAACTCATAAGAAGAATATAGTATTTCATATTTTGGTATACTTTTCCTGTCTGATTCCAAGATTGCTGGATTCTCATCTTTTGAGTCCTCATTCTCCTATGGTTTGTTACCTTCTGGAAAACTCCAGTGCCCACTTGTAAGAGGAGGAGAGTATAAAAAGGCAAATTGCATCTTAATTATTATGCAAATACTTTTGACTTTTGCAAAACACCAAAGACCTGGAGGAGCCCTCCTTGGGGTTTCCTAAAACACACTTTGAGAACTGCTGTGACAGCCCATCAGTGAGATGTGAGGATGTTTGAGGGGCTGGGGAGGTGTGAAGACCCTTGAACCACAACTTTAGAAGCCACAAGGTAGAGAAATGGCCCTAGCATGTTTCCAAGCTACTTCAACATAAGCTCTGCCTCTCTGCTTTCCTTCCTCAGGTGTGGAGTTTGTCGGAGCAGGGGACCCTGCTGGCCATCCTCGAAGGTGTAGGGGCCCCTGTGAACTTGCTGGTGCAGGGTGGGCCCCTGGTGGCCTCTGCTTCCCAGCAGTCCTCGTCTTTAAAGGTCTGGAATCTCACCCATGTGCAACAGTCTGGACCCTCGACCCCGTTTCTAGATCGCACAGGCCTCACTGCTGTGTCTCACAACGGAAACTATGTGTACTTCCCCAAAATTGGAGACAAAAACAAAGTTACCATTTGGGACTTGGTGGAAGGTTTGTAAGATAAAAGCATTTTGTGGGGATAAGAACTGAAACCCATCTTGGTCTATTTAGCTGTTGTAACAAAGCACCATAGCTGGCACAGCTTAACAATGGACAACTCTTTCTCATGGTTCTGGAAATTGGAAGTCCAAAGTCAAGGCACTGAAAATGGGGGTCTGGTGAGGGCCCCTCAGTTGCTTACAGCCTTTTCATTATCTCCTCAAATGGCAAAGAACTGAGAGAGGAGGCTAGCTTTCTAGTGCATCTTTCTGTGCAGACAGTAATTCAATCACAGGGATCCTACCTCCATGACCAAATCCCCAAGGCCCTTACCTCCGACTACCATCACCTTGGGAGTTAGAGCTTCAATATATGAATTGGTGACATTCAGTTCATAATGCCCAATAATTCCAGTCGGGTTGGAAATAGCTAATAGAAAACAGGACTCAATTTTATAAATTTCCAGGAAAATCTGGTTATTATTGTCTAATTTACTCTCAAAACAAGCAAGGGTACTTGCGTGTTGAGGGAAGTTCTGAGGAGAGATCTGAGGAGGGGTGTGAGGGAAGCAGAGGAGTTGGGGAGCCCTGGACAGGAAGTAGTTTCAGTCTGATTCTGAGCATGAATTTCATGTCGGAGGATCCTCCTCTCCCTCCCCCTCCCGCCCTTGAATCAAGGGCACTAGCTTTTTGTATTACCATGTCAGAGAGTCAGTGCCCTGGCACTATCTTTGGGGGCATTTCCAGATGGAAGACACTCTTCACCCAATAGCAATGGGTACCAGGTGTGGGGGTGAGTGGCAGCAGTGGGAGCTGGGCACATCACTGATAATATCTATTGCAATCCCCTCTGAAATAATAAAGGTATTGAAATTCCTTGTTAATGATCAAATAGAGTGAGAAGAAAAATTCACTCGAGTTCAGTGAGTTGGCCAATGTTTGTTTAGAGCCAGCTGTGACTGGATTCTGGGGGTTGACAGAGAGCAAGCCAGATGCTTGTGGTGGGGCAGGAGATAGGAGCTGCAAACTTCAGTCCTCAGGCCCAATCCAGATGCATCAATTTGCTAACATATTATCTGTCATATCTAGAGGACAGTTTCATTGCTGTCCACTAATACCTTTGCTGCATAACTAATTTTTTTTTTTTTAAGATTTACTTATTTATGCATATAGAACTGGGATGCAGGCCAGAGGTGCGGTGGGTGAGAGGCTTCACCAGAGACAGAGTGGGGAACAGAACAGGCAGATCCACTAAAATACACTGCTGAGGGGAGCAGCAGGCGGGTCAGGAGAGGTCTGCCATGGCATGTGGATCACCCCCCTCGCTGGGGATCGAACTTGTGCTACAGTGACTGCGATAGCTTCATAGTGTGTGCTTTAACCTGTTGCACCACCAGGGAGGGCCCACTGCATAACTAATTCTTATTAGAGAAACAAAGTAAGTAGTTGACAGTTTGGTTTCATTTCTCCATTGACCAAAGTATGGCAAAATCAAGTCTTAGCAAACTGATGTGCTATCATGTTCTGATATAATAGCATTCAGTCTGGCTTCATATTCTCAACTTTCACAGTTGGAATATGGTCACAAAAAAAAATTGTAATGTGTAATACTGTGAACAAATGCAAAACTCAGGACAGTTGCTTAGGTAAAATCCACAAAAGAAAATTAATTATTTGTGCAGTATTGCCATGAATTTACACACTTCTGGAAAAGTATGGGATATTTGTGTGGGGGAAGAGTCTTCCTCACCCCTCTTTTAGTATCTTTGGCCAAATAACAAACATGAGATAGTTAGCCAGAGAAAAGACAAATTGAATTTCATATACAAGGAGGCCGATAAGATATGAAACCTGGTGAATGATTAAAACAACCAGTTTGTATAGTTTTTCAACAAAGAAGCAATAAACCTGTGAAGAACAAACAGGACAAAGGAAATCTTGAAAATTTTGGTTTGGACAACTAATGTAGTGAGCGAAGCAGAGCTTGTTTGTAAGAACACCCCTGTCTCCGCCAGTGCGGCTCTGAATGCAGGGGGAGTCCTTTCACATAGAAAGGAGGAACAGCAGAGAAAATGCTTTTAGGAGAAAGGGACCTTCAGGGTACAATTCAGTCCACCACTGTTTCTTTGATTCAAAATAATCAGCATGCTGCTACTTTAACATATCCTGGGTCAGCCTGATCTGGGAACCAACAGAAACCAATTTAGAGGTTTTGTACTTTTTGCAATATATCTGTATTCAAATATTTCATGTTTTAGCATTAATGTTTCACATTTCATTATGTCCTTTTGAAATGCCCTCTGATTTTTTCTCTTTTGCAGCAAAATTGTCTTATGATGAATTAGTTACTCAGCAAATATATTTGCAGTACAATGACCCAAAACCATTGTTTGTGACTGCTTTGGGGCTATTAAAGGCAGGAGTGAGTGGTTGCAAAGAGCACTTCCAGCCTGCAAAGCAAAAATAATTACTGCCTAGCCCTGTTCAGAACTTTGGAAAGGGAACCCTTGGGATGAGGTCTGAAAAGTCACAAACACTCCAGGATGGAAAAAAACATGGAAAAGCATGGATGTTTGTCAGAAGGGAGTGGGAAGTCATGGAGAATGGTTAGGCAGGGTAGTGAGATGATTCTACTATCACTTGAAAAGCTTGAATGGTTGGGGGCAAGAGTGGAAATCTGGAAATTTGTAGATACCAAGTTGAAGATTATAATAATGAAAGCATTTTTTAAAAGTCCTTAAAAATAGGAAACATGGCTCTAGCATTCTCTGACACATGCCTGATGTGGTCTTCTCTCCACGGCAGGTGAGGAACAAGATTCCCTGGACACCTCCAATGAGGTCAGGTGTTTGGAGGTGGCCGAACAGGCCAAGCTCCTCTTCACTGGCCTTGTTTCAGGGATCGTCCTGGTGTTTCCACTGAATTCCAGGCAGGATGTGATGTGCATCCCCCCTCCAGAAGCCCGGAAGGCCGTCAACTGCATGGCGCTGAGCAAGGGTGAAGAGCGCCTGGTTATCGCCTATGACAACATCGTTCTGGTGCTGGACATCAGTCCTGGGGACCCCTGTCCAGTCATTGATGGGCCAACTTACACCTTCTATACCCAGCTGCCAGAGACCATATCGAGCGTGGCCGTCCTGGCCGACTACCGCGTGGTATATGGCATGACCAATGGTGATCTCTTTCTCTATGAGTGCGTAAATTCCAAAGTGTTCCCTCTGGAGGCCCACAGGAGCCGAGTCACCTGTGTGGAGGTCAGCCACAAGGAGCAGCTGGCAGTCAGCGGGTCCGAGGAAGCACTGCTTTGCCTCTGGGACCTGCGGGAATGCAAGTGGCTGTTTGAGATGAGCTACACGGTGCGTGGCCCACACACCCCATCCATGTTGAGGCCGGTGTCTGAAAAGTGACACAGGCATCCCTCATGTCCAGTTCACTGGGTCGGGACTAGGATGAGGCCAGTGATGTTCACCTCCAGAGCAGCATTTAAGCAGTAACCCCAAACTTGGCAAGTGAGAGAAATACTTTTTTTTATTATTGTAATAGTTTATTTTTACATCATTTTGTGGCTTTTTCCATTCCCATGGACTTCCCATCACCAATTCACCCAAGTGCCATCACCATAGTCCCATGCACTGAGAGAAACACTATTTTAATGCAATGTTTAAAAAGACCAAAATGAATGCAAAAGACCCAGGAAGACAAGATAGCCATGTTCAAAAGCAGGATCAAATCCTGTGCTGATACAACCTTACTTTCCTTACCTTAATCTGGCCTGGGTCATTCTTGCATCCAGTGATTTGATTGCACCAGCTCTGCTGCCCGTTGCCAGTGCCAAGGAAGTAGCTGTGGCCAGGACAGCCCCCTCCCACCTCTCAGAGTCATGTTCTCATGGGCAAGACACTGTGAGCAATGTGAGGGCAGGACTTGTTTGTGCTTGCTCTCTGAGATAGCCCCGAAATATCCTTGGTATTCAATAAAATGTGAAATAAAGGCAAAGCAGCAAATATTGATGGGTTGTGAAGAAGAGGGTTTTGAAGAAAAATAAGGCAAGTCAAAAGATGGAGTAGCAAGGGTTGCTCCTGAAAAAGGTCAAATAGGTCAGGTGGAACAACATTTTAGGCAGAAGGAACAGCAACTGTTGTTTTTTCTGAGTTAATAGAAAAATTTCTTAATAAAAAACTTGGAAGCGAACACTGAAAGCATGATCTGTGCACTTTTTTAGAAGGGCACAAAGTGAAAATATAAATAAAAACAATACCAAAAAATTTATTAAAAATATTTTTATAGGCCCTCCCTGGTGGTGCAGCGGGTTAAAGCACAGCACTGAGAATCTAAAGCCGCTTCCTCATGAGTTCGATTCCCGCCTGCCCCGGAGGTGACCACATGGCGTGGCAGACCTCTCCTGACCCGCCCGCTGCTCCCCTCAGCAGTGTATTTCGTTGATCTGCCTGTTCTGCACTCCACTCTGTCTCTGGTGAATTCTCTCACCCTCCACATCTCTGGCCTGTATCCCAGTTCTGTATGCACAAATAAAATCTTAAAAAAAAATTTTTTTTATATAAAAAATAAATATATAAAAAGACAATACCCACCAAAAAAGCAAAATAGAATTACACAGACAGTCGCTCTTAGAGCTTGATCCTTGGCCTCTCCCATTATCACTCAAGTGAAATATAAGAAGTTGGGCTTTTCTTGTCTCTGAAATAGGATGACAAGTGTGACAAATCTGAAGAGGGAAACTAGGGACTCCTTTACTTATGAATGTCTTAGAGTCCACACCTATCATCTTGTAAGATGCTGTTATGATTTTATCACTATCAAGTCACAGAGATATACAGTCCTATTATAGATTATATAACGTACACGATTTAATATAGCTTCATATTGGCAAAAAGAATGGCAAAATTAAGGTAAGGAAAGTAAGGTTGTATCAGCACAGGATTTGATTCAACCTAACCTTGTTAGGTTGATGTTATTCCATTTTTCAGATGGGCAATGAAGCTTTTCCTTAAAGTGCAATATGTAAAAATTGTTAGTCAATACAGGGAGACTACCTTGTAACTCAAAGAAGAGGGACTGTGTGTAGTTTCATCTCAAAGGGCCTTTGACCCACTTAACTTATTTATTTTTATGAAGTCACTCTAAGTGTAGGATATAAGTAATTTTTTGTTTAGTTGAGATGGCAATCACACCCAGTTTTTTGGTACTTGTTTTTAAGCAAACTTAATTTTTGGAATGATTTTAGATTTGCAGCAAAGTTGCAAGAGAGTTCCCAAATACCTCTCACCCAGCTGCCCTGAATGGTAACCTCTTATATAACGAGAGCATGTTTATCTAAACTAAGAAATTAGTGTGGGAACAATATTATTTCATCTAGAGGATTATACTCAGTTTTTAAATGAATTACCTTTTTCTTTTCTAGGATCCATTTTAGTATCTCCTGTTGCATGTAGCCCATAGCTTTTTTTTTTTTTTTTCAGATTTATTTATTAATGCATACAGAACTGGGGTACAGGCCAGAGGTGGGGGTGTGTGTGAAGATTTACCAGAGACAGAATGGGGAGCAGAACAGGCAGATGTGCTGAAATACACTGCTGAGGGGAGCAGTGAGAGGGTCAGGAGAGGTCTGCTGCTCCATGTGGGTCAGTTCTCTGGCCAGGGATTGAACTTGTACTGCAATGACTGCTTCATAGTGCTGTGCTTTAACCCACTGTGCCACCAGAGAGGGCCCAGCACATAGCTTTTAATTAAGTACAATTATAGTGAGTACTCACATAACCAAGGCCTTTTAAGAAATCAAATCCTAGAATTCCAGTTGTCTGATGCAAAATATCACTAAGTCCTCAATCTAATATCTGCAAAGATGCATTTTGATTCTAGGATATAGAGACCCATCTGCCCAGATTTCATTCCATCTATTCCCTCTGGGGAGCTTACAAGCCTTGCTTCCTGCCAGATACCTGAGAGCTGATCTCCTGGATGCAGTTCAAAATACAGATGCTGTTGTCTTTTTTGACAGAATTCCTACTGTAGAGGAGTCCAGTGTGCTTGCTTCTCCAAGGATGATAAGTATGTGTTTGCTGGCTTGAAGGATCGTTCCATAATCGTCTGGAGTGTATTGGATGGTGAGTTATTTTACTTCGAGGGAATTATTGGGCCTAGACCCAGAGAAGAAGGGTTTATTCTGGGATTCTGAGCATTAGGAGGACCCCACTGTGGTCTCTTTTGGTCTCCCATGTTAGGAGGTGTCTGAAGGCCCAGGAGCCAGGTGTGCCTCCTCTTCGAGATGCATGCTCTGGGTACCTCAGACTCCAGAATGTCCTTCCCACTGGTTCCTGAGCCCTCTGTAGGGCCTGAATGGGCCTTGTCCTCAAAGCCATCCTACTGAGAGTAGACTGAACCCCCATTGTGCAGACAGAGGTTCAGAGGGTAGCCATAGCCAACGGGCGATACATGTGGAGTTTGGAAGTAACAGCTGGGTAAAAACTAAGAGTCTGAGAGATGGGTGACTTGCCAAACTCACCTAGCGAGTAAATGGCAGGCTGTGGTTTGCAGCTGGTCTTCCTGGTCCGGTACTCACCTTTGTCACTTTCTATAGAGAAGGAACCCTGGCAGTGAGTATGTCCCTCCCATAGTTATCTCTGATGGCTGGAAAAATTGAAGTTCAGAGAAGTTAAGAGAAACTTCCAAGGTCATAAAGCATTGAATGAACATCAGGTAGTATCAACTATGTTGTTATTGAATATATTATAATCAAATACATAGTTGTCCAACACACTATAATAAAAAACATTGGGGGCCCTCCCTGGTGGCGCAGTGGGTTAAAGCACAGAGCACAGCACTAAGAAGATAAAGCCACTTCCTCATGAGTTCGATACCCACCTGCCCTAGAAGTGACCACATAGTGTGGCAGACCTCTCCTGACCCGCCCCCCTACTGCTCCCCTCAGCAGTGTACTCCATCAATCTGCCTGTTCTGCTCCCCACTCTGGTGAATCCTCTTGCCGCCCTGCACCCCTGGCCTGTACCCCAGTTCTGTGTACACAAATAAATAAATCTTTAAAAAAAACACACATTGGAATTGAACACATAGTAATCAAATACACTGGAATGGAATATACATTAAAGCTGAAAATATTCTAATTAAATACATGATAACCAAATACATTATAATCAAACACATAATAAAATGCATTGCAATAGACTACATTATATGATATGTACATACACATAATATGCATAACTACATATACATAATAACCAAATATATTGTAGCTGAATACATTGTAATCAAATACATTATAGTCTAATATAGCAAAGAAAAAAGTCTCACAAAAGTCTCACAAAAGTCCCAGATGGCTGAGAAGCTGAGGTCTGTAGATTGTAACCTTAAAAGCCCATCCTGTGGAGCTGGAAAAGATCATGCTTAGTGAGATAAGCCAGAAAGAGAAAGAAAAATACCGGATGGTTTCACTCATAGCAGGAGTATAATGGATCAGGCGAGAAAATAACAAAAATAATGAACAACCATATACCAGAGACATTTTGCGGGGATGGAGTGGGGAATGGGATCAAAAACGGGGGGGGGGGGAGAAATGCACAGGATTATGGTGATGGCACATGGGTGATTTGGTGATGGGAAACCCGCGGGGATTACAATCGAGATGGGAAAAAAATGTACAAAATGATGTAAAAATAAACTTTTGTAATAATAATAAAAAAAAAAGCCATCCTGGGTGAGTTCACGATCTCTTTTCCTTCTCCTCCTCCACTAATAATAATATTTGTCAAATGCATTCTGGGTCAAAAATAATACTAAGCACCTGTTGAGGAACATTTTCAAATTTTCAGAATTTCCCTCTGCAGGTGGGAAATGGGAAATTAGTTACCATTTGCAGATGAAGAAAGAGGTACTCTGTGAGGTTGAGTGTTATCATGCCTAAGCTTGTAAAGGGCATGCGATTTGACCCCATGCCTGTCAACTCTCAAGCATGTGAGATTCGCTCTCTGTCATCCCCATTTTCTCACTTGTACCCTGTCTTCCACCCCCACAGGCACCCTGCTGGCGGTCCAGTTTGTCCATGCTGTGGTGAATAGAATCATCCCAACTTCCAATGGCTTCATTGCCCCCACCCGACATGGCTATCTTATCCGCGAGCGTTTCCAATGCCCTTCCGCAAGGGTCTCACAGCAGGACCCTCTCAAAAACTTCAAGAAGGCAGTATGGATGGTCAAATCCAGGCAGAAGGAAGAGCTTGCTGCTGGTACAGAAGCTCGCCAGGACTCAGAATCAGGGAGCATGCCAGAAAATGAATCCAAATCTAACAAACGCTCTCAAGTCTGCCTGCTGGTGTAGAACCCCATGTGGGGTCCTGGGGCTTCAATGAGTTTGCCTCTCTTAATCTAACTAAGTCTAAAACAAAGAGAATGTATGTGCTGGTGGATGTGTGGACCCAAAGCCTCAGATTATGCAACCCAGATTCATTTTTCACCATCATTCCAGCCTTTGTGCCTTCTTCTGGGCTCCATTCACAGACCTGCCAGCTCCCCTCTCAGTTAGCAACAAGGCAGCCCTCATGTTGCTATCTTCAAGTTCTACAAAAAGAGAACTTCCCTTTCCAACAGTTGAATCAAAATCTCGGCCCTAATTCTATTGGCTTCAATTGGCTCGTATGCCTATTTCAGAACCAATTACTATCTCTGGGAGAATGATTAGCCAGTCTGACCCAGTGCCCTCTGAGGACACAGTCAACACCACCAATTATGTGATTGTGCATGGGAGAGGTTGGGTGCAGAGAGTAATGGAGATGATGGGAATGTGGGGGCCATGTGATCTGAGTGGCTTGAGTGGCATGGACACCCTGACTCTTGTTAGAATCACCACAGAGAATCCAGTTCACTGTTATGGGGACTTCCTGTGGTTGTAAACAGAGCCAGAAACCCATTTTATGTAAAATATTTTGTAGGAAATAGTCCCATTTCTAAAATGAGTTTAACGGCAATTGGCTCAAATTTACATCTACAGGCACATTTAACTTGTGTGTCTCTGATTCATGAGTGGACTTCCTGACCAAGCTGGCATAAAAACATTAAGTAACTTATAGCTCTTCCATCCTACTCCCTGGTCTCAGGATAACAATGCCTTTTTACATGAACAACTGGAGATTTTTTGGAAGCAGTTGGAACTAGCTGCCAGTATCTTTCTGCTGTGCTTTTGAGCCACCTTCAATTCTTGTAAATCCAACATTTGAATTATTTCCATACTGCTTAGGTGGATATTTCTTCTTTGCCCATGGCTTTCTAAAAGCCCCAATTGCTTCAAGGGCTTTTGCTACAAAGGTAGGAGAATCCAGTCCTTCAAGGTGCTATTCTTTCTCCCCTCCATTGGATTTCCAGAATTTCAGATAGAGCAAGCAAAGAACAGAGGCTTTTGAATGGACATGACCTTATTGACTATCTCATTTATTCATTTCCCAAACCTGGCTTCCAAGGAGGGCTTTGACAATTCTGTAAATATTAGCATTTCAAAAATTCCATTAAAAATATTTTCAATGGTAACTAAGGTGCATTTGTTGGGCAGCAGGTTTTTAAGGTGTTGGAAAAAACTAAGGATTCTCCTGCCATCACCATTTAACTTAGATTTTGACAAAAGCGCCTGAAAACCTAGCCATTCTTTCCCACCACTTCTCTATGAATCAGGGATTTACCCAATGCAGAAATAAAGCAGATGTTGTGACCAAGTAAGATTTCATGTACAGTTTTAAAATTAAAAAGTACGTTCATCTCCACATCCTCAGTAAGAATCAACTGCTTTGTACGGAAACACTTATGTGAACACAGGAAGGACACATTTACTAATAAATGTTACTCTGATTCATTGCTTCTATTGAGGCCTCTGCAGTGTGTTTTCATTCGAGAAAGCTTAGTGGCTATGAATGTTTTACTAGCACTGTTTTGAGGAGGAGCCAGACAGAATGGGAGCGCCGTCATGGCCATACGCACCTGGTTCTCTTTCAGCTAAACAGGACCACATAATGCATCTTCCAAGCTAGCACACATTTAAGAGTGAAGGGGGACCCTTGAGATCTGACCATAGACCCGAAGTGTACAGGGAGGGGCAAGAACAAAGTGGAGGAGAGAGTACAGTGAGCAAGATAGCAGATCATGGGTGATTTGGTGGTGGGCACTAGTCTGATGGCACCCAAGGGGCAGATCGTATACTTACAAAAGATTATCAGCTATGAAACTCCCTAGGACTTCAATAAGGTTAAAAAGGGGAGCATATTTAACAAGTACTTCTGGACTACTAAAAAAACTAAAAGTCTCAATACAATTGGCATCTACAGCCCCCCTGCTACACACAGCAGGATTCAATTTATGTTAAATTCCAGAGACTTTTAATTTGAGATGTAATTGATACAAATAACGTTATATTAGTTTCAGATGTATAACAATTAATTTGATATACAGGCACACCTTGGAGGTCTAGCAGGTCCCATTCCAGATCACTGCAATAAAGCTAATGTCATATGGGAGTCACACAAAAATTTTGGCTTCCTGGTGGATACTTTGTCATGTTTATACTACACTGTCATCTATGAAGCATGCAAGAGCATTATGTCTAAAAACAAAGTTAAATGTGGTGCAGAGACGAGAAGACAGCAATACTGTGGGAGCAATGCAGCACTCCACAGACTGGCTGGAGACAGGGTTACCATGAACCTCAGTTTGTAAAAAAAAAAAAAAAAAAGTCACCAGGAAGTGCACTAAGTGAAGCACTAAAGTGAGTTGCTACCTATCAGATGATCACCACAGGTCTAGTTAACAATCATCACCATACTTAGCTGTACATTTTGGAGAACTTTCAAAATCTACATTTTGTAATTTATTTTAAAAATCCAGGCATGTCCCACTTAATTTGAAAAACATTCAAACCTACAGCAGAGTTGCACTAGGCCGGGCCCAGGACGGGGAAGATCAGACAGTCAACCACAGACACAGCTGAAGGGGACACCAAAAATCTCAATAATCAAAAGGAATGATGTTTTTTAAAAATATTTTTTTAAAAATCAAAATGGGTAAAAAATGTATGATGAACAAAATATCAATGTTTTAAATAATGATGGCATCTCAGCTTGCCTGAAATTAGTCTCACTCACCTCACCTTGTTCCAACCCTGGGAACATCAGGACACTTCACGCTGTGAAAACCTAACAGGCAGGCATCTTTTAAGAATCAGGTCATTCTATAGAGCCACACACACCTATGAAACTAACTATTGTTATTTAGTTTAATATCTTTTAATAAACATCTTTTATTTTCCTAATACCTATAGCAACTTTTATAGCTATTTCTTTTCAAGTTAGGAAGCAATCAAGCTTTGTTCATGCGTTGCATTTGGTTGTCTCTTAACTTCTAAAGTTGAGCTAACAAACCACAGCCGGCAGTTCTGTTTTGTTAAGTTTTCTTGGCAAGCAGCCTTGCCCACTCATTTACATATTGCCTGGGGCTATTTTCTTGCTACAGTGACAGTGAATGGGTGGCCCCAAAGCCAAAAAGATTTACAATCTAATCCTTAACAGAAAAGTACGACAATCCTGGTCTTAAGGCTTATTTAGATTCAGGGCAAACATTGTTTTTTAATGAACTTTGCTTTTTAAAGCAATTTTAGAGTCAGCCAACGTGAGCAAAAGTTAGAGATTTCCCACTTAAGCTGCTACCCAGTACATGAATAACTCCCTTCCCCGTGACCAGACTCCCCTACCAGTGTGCTGCTTTGTTATACTTCATGAATCTATATTGGCACAGCATAATCTCAGGGTAAATATTTTTCACAAGGTTGTTTCATCTTCATAATAAATAGCTGCCAATTTAGCAGATGAAAATATCACCTATTTATTATCTCAGTTTCTGTGCATCTGAAGTCCTGGTACAGTGTAGCTGGATTCTCTGCTCAGGTATTATAGATGTCAGCCAGGCCAGAATTTCATCAAGGGGCTCAAAGTCCTATTCTATACTCACTCAGGCCAGTGAGCAAAATTGAGCTTGTTGTGGTTGTAGGGCTGTGGCTCTCAGTTCTAGAGGCTGCCTCTCTCCATAGGCAGTTTGTGGGCATGATTGGGTCCTCCTTTCAACATAGCAGGATTATATTTCTCTGCTGCTTCCAGTTGCTGAACTCCAGACACTTGTAAAGGTTATCCCCTGGTTAGGCCAGGCCCATCTGTAGTAATAATAATAATAATGTTTTAATCACTGTCTGATGAACTCAAATCAACTGATTTGGAACATCAAATAACCTACAGGATTGCTTCCACTTTGCTGTATGGAGTAATGTAATTGTAGGAGTGACGTTTATTAGAGTCAGATGTGTGGTCAAAACTCCAGGATGGGGGAATCACAGGGTACAGGCAGCAGGTGTTAAAGATGTCAGTACTATCTTAACAGGCTGCCACAAATAATTCTGGACTTTTGAGATTTGGGTGATAAAGTTTGCCAGGTGGGAGGATAAGATTAGCTGAAAATTTGATCTTTTCATCTCATCTTTTAAATTTCATGAATATAATGTCCAACAAAATACTTACCTCCAAATGTTATCTTAATGCTGTGAAAGCTGTGAAAGGGTAAGGAAATCTGTGTTCCAAGGCTGGTCTGTTTAAACTGTCAGCTCTAAGGGTTTCAATGTACATTTGGAAAGTGGATCCAGACCACCACAGTAAAGCAAATACTGTGGTAAAGACACGCAATTTTTAGTTTCCCAGTGTACCTAAAGTTAAGTTTGTTGATGAAGACCATGCCATGGCAGCTGCCTCGTCCCCAAAAAAGATGGAGGGAGGCTGGTATGGCTTGGCAATACTGGGTTCCCCTGCTTTGACACTGTGCAGCTGCCAGCTTGCCTTCCTGCCTCAGCTGCACCAAGCCTCCCCCTGCAGACTCTTCCCTTTCTGCTGCACATGCCACTTTGCTGAGCTGGTTTGTGCATTTTAGGAATCATCTACCCAGGACAAGTGACTTTTTCTCATCTGAACCACCTTCTGAGGGCCTCAATCTTCAAAGACCAGAGACTCTGTGGACCTCCAGTTCCTGTCTGGTGCTCATCTCTGCAGGGTCTATGAATGTTTAAGCCTGTGAACATGCTCCAGATGTCTCAAGGCACATCACTGCAGTAAGGAGCATCAGACTCAAGGCTGGGGGTTGGTTGTATACAACCAGATTATATGGGCAATACAATTCCAAACTACAACTTCCTTTTTTTTCCAGAATATGAACAGAAGCAGGAAGATGACACCTGAAATTGTGGGAAACACAGATGACTCTGAGTTGACAGGCAGCATGGGTGAACACCCTGCGTAGAATTAGATTCCATGGCAAAGCATGAATCCAGTGAAGACAAAAATTTCCAGAATTTTCAAAATGCTCCCTTGCACCAACAGATTCTCAAATATGACCTTATATGCATTCCTGGTAAAAAAAAAAAATGACCATCAGGAAAATAATACTCCTAATTGCCCCCAGGGGTGCCAAGAGAAAATTTGAATTCCACGTGATGCCTTAGTTGACCTCTACCACCCAAAGGCTGGTGGATTGGGCAACAGCATTGATTGTGATGTGTTCTCAATCTTCATATGTGGTACAGCTGTGGACTGCACAAAGGAATTTGGGTACGATGTAACAGATTCACCTCAGAGAATCTGAGGTGAATGACTAATGCTAAAAATCTCCAGCCCTTGTGATTCCATTTCTAGGACTTTGTCCCACGGAAATGATTGTACCTGAGATAGAGGTCCAATGATGGTGTAAGTATGGTTTACAATATCTAAATATTAGCAAAAGTAGTCTATTCAGAGACAGGAAGTAAATCAATTTTGATGCGTGTGACCAGTGACTGCCATGTGATCTTAATTAAACAACGGCTGTGCGCACCAAGTACGATAGTGCTCCAAACTGATGCCAATATACCAATCTAGGTGGAATTCATGGCAAAATATTTCAGTCAGAAGATTTGCATATGTGTATGTGCACAGAAATAAATCTGGAAAGATATACAATAGGCGTGAAACAATTACTCATGAAGGGTGGGACAAAGTGAAAGGATTTCTTTACTGAAAGTTATGTTTCTATCTACAACAAAAATGGGTTAATTGAATACTAACAAGTTATGTTTACACTATTCTATCATGTATGAAGTATGCAATAGCACTCTGTCTAAAAATATTCACATTTAGTGACAAGTGACATAGAGGCAGGAAGGGAGCACAAGCTGCCGAAAAAAATGGTGCCAACACACTTGCTCTATGCAGGGTCACTGCAAACCTTCAATTTGAAAAACAAAACAAAACAAAACAGTATCTAGAAGTACAATCAAGCGAAGTGCAATAAAATAAGGTGTGTCTGTACTCTGTGTAGGTGGCAATAGTTAAGAAAAAACAGTAACTTAGCATGTGTTGTGCTTTTAAAGAACAAGAATGAAAGGCTGCATTGCACTGTTGCATACATGTGAACACATGTAGACCCACCCATGTACACACGCACACATGCACACACACAGGTACACAGCAGGCCAAGGCAGAATTGGCTTATGCTTCCCTGCTCTCCAAATGAACAAGGGCGTCCTCTGACCATCTGAGATTTATGAAAAAAAAAAAAAATGAACAATGCAAAATGATCCTTGAAATTTGAATAGAACCATCCTCCCTGAGGGAGAGAATGCCTCCTGGCAGCCAGCAGCCCGCATGCAGTAGGTTCTGGAAGACAGTCACCAGCAGGTTGTCTGGTGACTTCAGAAGCTGCAGGCTGCCCTAGCTGTTGTTTATGCAGGAATGTACTGAACCCTACAGAATCCCTTTCTGGGCTGTGAGCCATCAATCCTCAGTGCTCCTTCCCTTCGCCCCACATCTACCCAATACCACACCCTCTCTGCTTTACTTTACTTTCCACCCCTTTCTTTCCACCTTCATTGCCCCACCCTGGTCAGACACCACTGTCTGTTCCATAAACAGTATAACTGCCTCCTTGCATCCTCCTTGGCTGTACTCCAATCCCTTCCCTGCAGAGCATTTGCTTCCAAATTCAAAGCTGTTCAAGCAGCTCCTTGTGTAAAAGTCATGTGTGCTTTCTACTAATGCTAAATGACAAGACAAAAATTTATCTCATCCCGTAAGGATGAGTGGTCTGCCTATTCAGGCCTCTCCACAGGCCTCCTGTGTTCCACCCTCCCCCACTTCCAAATCTACAGTCCAAGAACATGGTCTTTTTATGCTCAGTCCTTCAAATGTGCTCCACTGCCTTCTTCCACAGGGTTCTGCAAGGCCCTCTGACATTTTTGATAAATGCTACCCCTCCTTCAGAATGCAGCTGGGGGTGACATCCTCTGGGAAGCCTTCTTCATTCCATGCTAGACAGGTCTAAGTCTTCCTGTGGCAGGTTATATTTTTCAAAAATGGTCATGGCAATATTTCATGTCCTCCATACTATTCTAGAAACTGGCCACTCACTAGGTTCTGATGTCTGTTTGTCCTCCTCTTGAATTTGGGAAGGATTTTGTAATAGCCACCATAAAAAGGCTACAGTGGAAATTATTTTGTGTGACTTCTAAGGCTGGATCAGAAGAGACAATAGGACTTCCACCTGACTCACTTGCCCCCTTCATCACCCTGATAGGTCTTGGAACACTACTGCCATGCCATGAGGAAGCTGAAGCTGCATGAGGAGGACACATACATAGGGTTCTGGCAACAGCCCTAACACGGGTCTTGACCTATAGCCAGCAGCAACTGCTGGACACGTGAGTAAGTAAACCTTCAGAGGATTGCAGGCACCCAGCTGACACCAAGAAGCCAGAGAGGAGCTATCCTGCCAACCCTGGCCCAAGTGCAGGTTGGAGGGCAAAATAAATATCTTCATTCCAAAGCTCTAGGTCCTGGGTGGTTTGTTACACATTGTAACTAGAATGGAAAAATATTAATTTTTACCTTCTCTTTAAAGTATTTGCTACATACATTTATGTGTGTGATTATTTTTGATATTTACCCTTCTGGAAAGACTGAAGCTTTATGAGAGCAACAGTATCATCAGTTTTGTTCCCCATTCTATTTCTAATACTTAGCACAGTGCATGGCAGATGATACACTCATTCCCAATATATTTTCAAGTTTATTGCACCTTTGTAGATATAAAAAGAGATACAAATTGTTCACTGACTCACACTCATTTAATGCTCACTAGTGTGACTCTATTAGGGATTTGAGTTAGAGATATAGCATGACAGATATAATATGAAGACGTTTTATAACGAAATATGAAGGGATAGAGGAGGGGGCATTTGGATTGGGTTTTGAAGGATGCATAGGAGCTTTCTGATGATGAGCTAGAACTAGGTTTCTAGTGAGGGAAATGGTATATCTGGTTCATGGGGCCCAGAAGCAGTCAGGCTGGGCAAACATTGAAAGGGTGTTCTTCACAGAGGGAAACGTGCCTGGATGGAAAATCCTACACATAATGTACTGATGGTCTTTAGTGCTGACTGTGAATGTTTAGGTTTCTCTCACAAGTGGGAAGTTCTAGAGATGTGGAAGTAGCTGTGGAATGGCCTCAGCTATTGATAGTCCAGGGCTTGGAAAACTGGCTGAGTTTCCTGAATTAGCCCAGGGGAAAGAGAGTGGGGTCAGGACTAGGCAAGTAAAGATAGGAGGTGTGTAGTAAATCAAGATCCACAGATTTTTTAAAAGATTTATTTATTTATGCATACAAGAGCTGGGTACAGGCCAGAGGGACAGGGATTGAAAGAGTTCACAGGAGATAGAGTGGGGAGCAGAACAGGTGGATCAACTGAAATACACTGCTGAGAGGAGCAGCTGCGTGATAGAAGAGGTCTGGTGGGTCATGTGGGTTAACTCCCGGCTGAGTATCTAAAGGGCTTCATATAGCTTCATAGTGCTGAGTCTTAATCCCTTGTGTCACCAGGGAGGCCCAGTGGGGAACCTTAGGATCTTAGGATCTGTCGCAGCCAGTCAGCGTGCTATAGTAGCCCATTAGCAGCCAGACTTGATAGGTACATAGGGTGTGCCTGTGCCTGTAAAGCTTTATTTTGCAGAAACTGAAATTTGGGTTTCATACAATTTTCACATGTCACGAAATGGTCTTCTCTTCTGCATTTTTCCAACTTTAAAAGATTCAAAAAACAAAACAAAACTGAACTGGCTCGTGGGGCCGGACAAAAACAGGCAGCAGGTCTAGGTCTGCCCACTGCGCTCCATAAAGCATTAGCATTTTAATTTTAGGAATAACACCCTATAGAATCTCTCCCCGAGTTCTCTCCTCCTTGAGATTCCAGGCCCCGCCCCGAGGCGGGGTCCGCGCATGCGCCGCTGGCCCTCTGGCGGGGGCGGGGCGGGCCGCGGCTCCGATTCCAACATGGCGCACGCTGGCGGCGGCGGCCCCGGGGGCCGGGGGCTGAGCAGCGCCCGCTGGGGTCGCTCGGGCTCCGCCGGCCACGAGAAGCTGCCCGTGCATGTGAGTGGCGCCCCCGCACTCCCTCGGGGCCCCTGTCGGCCGGTAGCCCCGGGCCGACACCCCTCACCCTGGCCCCTCCCGGCCCCGCCTCGGCCTCCCCACTCCGCGCAGCCCCGGGTCCCCGGCGTCCGACCCCCGACCCATCATTCCTCACCTCGGCCTCTCTGAGGCCCGGCACGTACCCTTCCTCGCCAAAGACCCGCGACCTTCTTCCCCTCACCTTGACCCCTCGGCGGCCCGGTCTTTGCCCTGCCAGGGACCCCTGACACCTTGGCCGTCCAGAGGCCGGACCACTTCTAGGTTAGAAACCCCCAACCCCTTACCTGTGCCGCTGTGAGGCCCTGTCTCTACCCCACAGGGACTCCCGACCCCTCACCGCGGCCTCTGGGAGGCCCTGTGCCTTTTCCGCCAGGGACCCTTTTCCTTGCCGGCACCTTGGCCCCTCAGAGGTTCAGTCGTCACCTTCCCCACCAGAAACCCTGGAATGTCCCCTTCTTCCCAAGACGCCCCCATTCCGCCTCCACAGACTCTGGCCCACTGGGATCCTCCCTTTTCCCCTTCCCCGCAGGTGGAGGATGCCCTTACCTACCTGGACCAGGTGAAGATCCGTTTTGGCAGCGACCCCGCCACCTACAACGGTTTCTTGGAGATCATGAAGGAGTTCAAAAGCCAGAGGTATTCTTGGGGCTCCTCCATACGCCGTGGGTACAATCTGGCTGAGCGAGATGGGAACCCCATCCGGGCCGGGGGACTCAGTGACCTTGTCCAGGTCGTAGAATCTCTGTGAGGTTCAATTTCGGTTTTTTATTTTTAAGAAAGGGGAGTACTCCCCTTGTGGAGCTGTTGTGGGATTTCTGCAAGGGGAGCAGGACAGGGGGAGGTGAGTGGAAAAAACACAAGATCAGTTCCTGTCATTACTGTAAATGTTGATGATGAAATTAATTTTGTTCATCAAGGATTTTTAAAAGTTAAGTTTGCTTTTTTCATACCCTGTTTAAAGATGCTATTTGTCTTGATTATTGAGTGTTTTAGCACTCTCTGCCCCTCAGATCTTGACCACAAAGTGAGTATCTCACCTGCCACACACTAATCCAGGCCTATTGGAAGAAGTGTACAAAAAATGCTTAGTAAGGGACCTGGCACACAGAGCACTTAGAACACATTAGTTGTTCTTGTAAGCACCCACTCGAGGGCCACCATCATCCCCTTGTTTGACAGGAGACTGAGAGTCTTGGCAGGAAACCCCTTCCCCCTTGAATTCTTATACAACTCCCATGCTTGCAGGGCTTTGGTATTTATGCTTTGCCATCAGGTATTTATGCATTGCCATGACAAAGGATCAACACCTTTGTCATAGTTGACCCCTGATTCACATGAAAGGGAATTTATCACATTGTTTACAGAGCTTTGGCCTCCCTTCACATCTTAGAGTCCAGGACTTGCAGTCAGCTCTCCTGACTTTTTCAGAACTCAACACACATCCTTGGAGTGTTTGGGGAGTTGTGCATTGTAAATAAATATTTGATGAGTCCAAGAGGACTCAGGGAGCCCAGTCTAACAACTTGGGAAGTTGATTGCCTTTGGCATATTACTCGGTCACATTTTAGGGTGCTTCCTTGTCAGTCGAGAAGTTTGTTACATGGCATTGTCGAAGGAACTAGAAGTGGATTTCGCTTTCAGTTTGCCCTCAAATACACTCTCGCCCACTGAAGTCCTTCTCTGTTCCAGCATTGACACCCCTGGAGTCATTCGACGTGTTTCGCAGCTCTTTCATGAGCACCCTGACCTCATTGTTGGATTCAACGCTTTCCTTCCCCTTGGGTACAGAATTGACATTCCCAAGAATGGCAAGTTAAACATCCAGTCACCTCTGTCAAACCAGGTATGCCACTGCAGTGGTTTGAGTGATATTCTTGTGACATGGAGCCTGGTAGTGCTTGCCTCCTGTATTGCATGGCTTGAAAGCCGGTGATGATTCCTTGTCTAGATGAACTAATGTCTCCCAAATCAAATCAGAATACTTCATAACACCTCCACAGATAGCCCTCTGTGTCCCAAATTGATTCATTTGGACAATTTGGATCAAGAGTGGATGTGTTTGTGTCAGGGAGGCATCTTTCTAACATAATTTTAGGTCCTGTAGTAATAAACAGAGTCCGTGGCCACCAGAGTCTCAGCTGGATGCTCGCCCTTTGTGCACACCAGGCAGGCCACCCTTATCTTTAAGTGTATGATTGCTCCGACTGCCCTGGTGTCACCTCCAGTGTGAATAGATACTTTCATTGTTGCTGTGCTCATTTAATTGCAGACAGGGTCATTGGCTAAGCTCAAACCATGGTTCCTTCTTTCTCTGTCTGCAGTCCCTTCTTGCTTAAGCTCATCAGCCCCCTATGAAAAAGAAAGCCTGTTTGAGCTTTGTCTTTTTTTTTTTTTCTCTTTTCCACCTCAGGTCTATTGCCATTTAAGGCATAATGCTTTGCTGTGGGGGGCTGTCCGATATGTTGGGGCATCTTTAGTAGCATCATTGGCCTCAACCCACTAGTCCTTCATCCCATGGAAATAGCAAAAAATGTCACCAGACATTGCTGGGTGTCTTCTAAGGGAGGAACTACCTCCATTTCCTTTCTCCCTCCCTCCCACCCTCAGACTCCCTCAACAACCTCAGTCTCTGAGACATAGTAAGGGAGCGAAAACTTACTGCAGGAAACATTTTGTAGGTTTCTGATAAAAAAAAATTGCCAAGAGGTGCATCAGTTCCTAGAGGGTCAGGATTTAGAAAGAGAGCAGTAGTGACTGCTTGCACTCCAAGGGGGACTTGTATATCATTCCTGCCTGCTCCACTTAAGGACCACTCCACCATCAGCACGTTGCCTCATTAAAGCCCAGGAGGGGCAGCTTGGTTTTAAAAAGGAACTTGGAAGCTTACTACTGCTGAATTCCAAAGAGCTTGCATTTCACATTTGCAATTGGAGCCCTAGGATCCAGATGTGTGGGGCTTTGTGCCCTCAGACGATGAAAGCATTAGTGCGATTAATCTTTAGAACAATCACAGTTTCCATTGTGCTCTAAGAGCTGGAGCCAAAGACCTAAATTGCACTCCCCAAGTGGAAATCGTCTTTCTTAGTTCCTGGCTATTGGAGTAACTATCTGGCAGCTCTTCATATGAACTACCCATGCTAACATAGCATTCCCTTAAATAGCCTTGGGGTCCCTGCTGTTATGCACACACCTTGTGGGTTGCTATACCAGTAAGAGTAAGGAAGCAGCCAAATGTAGGCCCCTCTCTCAGCAGGAGACACACATTCAGGGCACTCGCCAGCCCACCCACTTTCAGTCAGCACTGCAAACCTGCTAGCACCCAGCCCTATTCATCACTTGGGGCTGGTATTTGGACAGCTACATGATGGCCACGCACAAGATATCCTCCTGCCTCACTGAGAGTCTAAATGGGGCTCCCCACATAAAATGCCCTGCTGATTTGTTTTTTTGGATTTTTGTCTGCAGTTTCACTGTTTTTGAAATACAGCTTTGTTTTTATTTTTCATCTCCTTGTGTGTTTGCAACCCATGAGGTATAACTCATAAGTACTGAGACAGACATGAGGGAATCCCAGGCTTTGAGGATCTTTTATTGCGGGGGGGTTTCAGTCTCAGCACTACCATGATAAGGGCTGACTACTGTGCCTTGTGGGTGCTGAACAGTATCCCTTGCCTCCACACACCTGATACAATGGCACCTCCTCCTCCAGTGGGACAACCTAAAATGTCACCAGATGTTACCAAGTATCCATGGGGACAAAGCCACCAGTTAGAACACTCAAGAATAACAAGGACAAGTACCATGATGAGGACCAGGGACCATGCAGAAAGAATGTTTTTCCTGGGGCTGCGGCCTCCCCAGTCTTGTCACACTGGTTCTGGTCATCCAGGCCTCAATGGTGATGCTTTCTCCTCAGAGCTCCTTACTCACACCCCTATTTTGTACTTTTCAAAATAGTAGAGCTCAGAAAAGAAATGTGGAAACCCACCTTTTTAGTTTTCCCACCTGTGGAAACTGAGTCCTGCAGATTGGGTATTCATCATCTGTCTTGGTACAACTGTGTCCTTGTATGTGCCAGGCACATGTCAGAGAACAGAGCCACTGAATGTCCCAAAAAGTGATGAATCTCAGTTTAGGGGTCTCACTTAGGGAAGTCCCTTTCCCCTGGGAACCTGCTTTTTTATGTGTTACTGGAATAAGCCAGGAAGAGGTAGAGCAATAAACCTTTGGGTGCAGCCTATAATATGAGGGATGCCATTACATTCCAAGGGAGACCTACATTTTCTAGTAGAGAGTCACTTAGCCATCTAGCAAATCACCTCACGTCTGTCTCAGTCCCTACAAAGCAAGAGTAGCCCACCCAGTCCTAAGATCTGCCCAGGGTCCCAGCTTGTGAGGTCCTCGCTTGGTGGCACATGAGAAGCAGGTGGCTAGAGGTTTGGGGCATGTTTCAGTTTGGGCATAGAGGCCTAGATGGGAAAGTAGGTGTGCTTGAGGTGGGGGGGTGGGGGGTGGGTAAGTGTGTACAACAGGAAATCACTGGAGTTGGGAGAAGCAGGGGAAAGGGTGAGAAAGCACCAGGAGTCTGAGAAGCCAGAGAAAGATTCTTTTCCAGAGAAAAGCCACTGTGACTGCTTTCTGGAGGGGGATTAAGGGGCAAGAGAGGATGTGGGAGGCTAGGGAGAGCCTGCTGTTATCCAGGCAGAGTGGCTGGTAATGCAGCCCGGGGTGGGGGGGGCAGTGCTAGAAGGTTAAGGGGATGACAAGATGCTTGGGCCTCTGGGCGAAGATGGCTCTGATGTGAGCAAGACCCAGAACAATGGGGGCAGGGGCTACTCTGGAGTGTGCCTTTCGATATTTAAGTGTCTCTTAAATATCCAAGTGGGGCTTTGTGTGGACTCAGATACCTGAGGGACTTCGCAGGGCCATGTCAAGTATTCAGGAGGTCTTTCTGACTGCCTGGGTAAAGCCACTCAGGGCAGAGAAAAGACTGGTGATATGCTGGAAGGTTTAGAGCAGAGGTTGGCAAACTGTTACCTCTAGATAGAAGACTGCTGGTTTTTGTATAGCTGGTGGTTTTTACATTTTCCAGTGATTACTTAAAATAATTTTTTTTTAATTGTGGTAATAGTCACTTACCATAAAATTCCTTTTGATAGCCATTTTACAGTATAGAGTTTAGTGTTTCCAGTTTATTTACAATATCATCCAACACTGTCATTGATTCCGAAACATTTCTGTCACCCCTCCCAAAGGAAACTATACTTGCCCCTCTTCAAACTGCCTTCTGATCATGGATTTGACCGTTCTGGATATTTCGCATAAATGGATTCATATATAATGGTTTCTGTCTGTTTTCTCCCACTCAGCAGCATGTTTCTGGTTTATCTGAGTTGCAGCGAGTGTCAGGGCTTTACTCCTTGTTATGACAATGGTCCTCCCCTGTGTGGCTGGACCATATTGTGTTCACCCTTCACTCATTGACACTTCACATTTCAGCAGTTGTGACTAGTGCTTCTGTGGATGTGTGGGCAAGGATTTATGTGAGCACTTGTTTCCAGTTCTTTTAATACCTAGGAGCAGAATTACTAGGTCACATGCTAAGTGCATTTAACTAAATGAAAAACCATCAGACTGGGCCACAGCAGCCACCCCGTTGCTCTCTGGCCCTTCTGCAAGCCTGGCCTGAGGAGTGGTTCTCCGTCTTGCACAGGGCTCATTCCAGGAATTGGAGTGGTGGGAGTTTAGTTGGAGCACTCGGCCTCTACTAAAGCAAACCACAGCTCCAGGGCTACTTTCTCCCTCCCTCTGCCCCTACCTGGCTCCTTTGGCACCTTTCATGCCAAACCTGTGCCCCTCTATACCTGCAGGGAATAAGCGTGTTGACTTCTATGAGCCTAACAAAGGAAACTGCCAAGAATATCTCAGTGGATTCTGTGCTGAGAAGTGATGTTTAGAAGTGTGGCTGCTCTCAGTTGTGTATCTGCTTTCCTCATCTCACACTTTCTAGAGCTGCCTCTATACCCACTGTTATGGCCTGAATAGGGTACACTCCCAAATTCTTATGTTGATGTCCTGTCCCTGTAAGTACCCAGAATGTGACTATATTTGAAGATAGGGTCTTTAGAGAGGAAATTAAGGTAAAATGGGGCTATTAGGATGCCATAGTCCAACCTGAGGGATGGTTGAGAAGACAACGAACATATGAAAAAAGCCCAGGAATGCACGTACACAGAAGGCTGACCATATGAACCAAGAGGCCTCAGGAAAGATCAGTCCTGCTGGCACCTTGGTTTTGGCCTTCCAACCTCCAGAGCTGACACAATAAATGGCTTGTTATGCAAGCTGCCCTGTCTGTGGTATTTTATTGTGGCAGCCCCTGAAGTCTAGTCCCCTGGATGATCATGGTGCTTGGCAAAGTATGCAGCAGTGGCGTGGCTGCCACTGGAACCTCCAGAGGGTGGTTGGTGCCCGGTGCTGTGCTGTGCTGAGTAACACAGGCAGTAGAAGTAGACTTGATTTTGTTCCTTCATTTGTTCATCTGATCTCCCCAAACAAAGTGCTGTTCTAGGCTTTGGGGTACAAGAAGTGGACAAAATAGAATGGGCCACTGTCAGGGTGGGTGGGCCAACAATGATGTGAGTAAAATATGCTACCTGTAGGAAGGTGGTGCATGTTTGGAGAAGAATGAAGTGAGAAAGGGGTTCCAGGGACTTTCTGGGAGACAGGTCATTTTTGTTTAGCATGGTACAGTTCTGGAAGACTTGCTTAGGTGTCTGACCGAAAGGATCCCCACCTGCTGGAGACGAGCCCCCACGTGCAGAGACCGGCAGGTTGCTGAGGGTCACTCCTGGCAGCCCAGCTTTTATCAGTGGGGCAGCAGTCATATTCAGAACTACCCACAGAATTCCAGTGTAGAACATAAATGTCATGGTGGGGGTGGGGGTGGCTTGGCCCTGTCTTGCTATGAGCTAGTATTCCTGGTGCACAAGGGGAGGTATGTCTTTTTTGCTTTTTTTTTTTTTTAATGAGGAAAAAAGCATACAAGTAGAGGGCATGGTTGACAGGTAAGAGGTTGTCCTTAATGACTGTCCTGGGGCTTAGCAGCAAAAGTTGCAAACTCCAGGTCCCCTCAACCCCAGTCTGGTCATCCTTACCTGCAGGGCCCTCCTATTCCGTACATCCTGAGTTGCCCTATCTCCGCTGACAGCAGCACCTTTCAGCATGAAAACACTTGCTGAGATGGACTGGCAGTGGTTTGGAAGGTTTCTTTTATCAATAGCCCAAAATTCTATTCTGAAAGGATTGAGTATTTTGATTTTTGTAAATAACTCCTGAATACAAATCTTTCAAAATACAGCATGTTGGTTAGACTTCTGTGTTCTTTCAATCAATATGGAAGATTGGGATGGAGGTGAGTTCATAAGATTTACTTAGGATAGCCCACAGACACCCAGGGGGATTACTGTCTGCAGGTTTCCTGTGACTTCCCTCCCTCCAGACCCCTCCACACGTAACCTTTCCTACATCTAAGTGAAACCCTCAACTTTGTGCTTGATTTGGCTTGTTCTCAGAAAGAAGTTCCACCTTTGTTTCTTAGTCTCTTTTGGGTGTCAGACCAACTAACTCACTGTGTGTTGTTGTCAGGAGAATTCGCACAACCACAGCGACTGTGCTGATAGCCTCAAACAGCAGATACCATACAAGGAGGACAAGCCTCAGGTGCCCCTGGAGTCGGATTCCGTGGAATTCAACAATGCCATCAGCTATGTGAACAAAATTAAGACACGTTTTCTAGACCACCCAGAGATCTATAGATCGTTTCTGGAGATACTGCACACATACCAGGTAGGGATCTGGGCCACACTTCTATGTGGGTGTTTGTGGTGACACCCACTGTTAGGTGCACTGTTAGGTGCATCAGAAGCATTCCAATTTTCTTGTCTAAATTCATGAACTCCTGTTACATTCTCACTAGCTTTTTTTGGGGGGGGGGGCGAGTATTTTCTATGCTTTTACTGCACTGAAAAATAGATACCAAAATTTGTCTTTTTAACCATTTTTTTTTTTTGTTTTATTTATTTATTCATATAGAACTGGGGTACAGGCCAGAGATGTGGAGGGTGAGAGGATTCACCAGAGACAGAGCGGGGAGCAGAACAGGCAGATCGACGAAGTACACTGCTGAGGGGAGCAGCGGGCGGGCCAGGAGAGGTCTGCCACGCCATGTGGTCACCTCTGGGGCAGGCGGGAATCGAACTCTTGAGGAAGTGGCTTTTAGATTCTCAGTGCGGTGCTTTAACCCGCTGCGCCACCGGGGAGGGCCTTTTTAACCATTTTTAAGTGTGCAGTTCTGTGGTATTAAGCACATCCACCTTCCATCTCCAGAACTTTCTTTTGTTCCCAAAATGAAACTCTGTCCCTATTAAACACACACTCCCCATGTCTCCCGCAGCCCCTGGCAACCACCAGTCTGTCTCTGTAGATTTGACTCTTCTGCATATAAGTAGAATCACACAGTATTTTTCCTTTTGTGACTGGCTTATTTCACTCAGCATGATGTCCTCCAAGATCATCAATGTTGTAGCATATGTTAGATTTTCTCCCTTTTAAAGGCTGAATATTATCCCATTGTGCGAATGGACCACATTTTCCTAGTTATTTAGGCATTGACGGACACTTGGGTTGCTTCTACATTCTGGCAATTGTGAATAATGTTGCTATGAACGTGGGTGTAGAAATAGTTTAGTTTTTATTTTAATTTGTTCCTTGAGGCACCAGTATACCCATGAAAGGAAACACACATTAGAGATAATGAAAAAAGAACCTAAGAAGATGGTCTTTTTATGGATGACTTACTATGTAGACAGCACAGCTGCCCACTGTTTATTCTGATTGCTTTATGCTCTGTGCCCAGTGCTGGGGCAAGAGAGGACCGGTGACCACTACCTGAGGGCTTCATCCAGTAATAAAAGAAGCCTAGATGATTGGGGTAGAAAAGAGGGCTGTGTGTAGAAATATGTTGGCGTGAGTGGGTGCCAGTCCTATTGGGGGTCAGGTAGAGAATATTTAATCAGCTAAAACTATTAGACAGATGACTATGGAAGAAAAGTGGATTCACTTGGTTCCAGGAATAGCCTGTGCAAAGGTCCAGGAGTGAGGGCAGACACTTGATGAGAGATACAGGCAAAGAATTTGGATATCGTCCTCACCCAGGGATTTTTGGCTTCTTCAAAGATTCTGTGGGATCATCACACCTTAGAGGTATAAGGATTGATATAAGACCAAGTAGTGTCTCTGGGAGCTGGAGAAGTCAAGCTTATCACAGTCAGAGTGATGGACTCCAAGCTCAGAGAAAGCTTGAAGGGCCAGCTAGGACTCTAGGTCCTCCAGCCAGAGCCCCTGGGATTGATGTGGAATACGGATGGCCTGGGCCTCAACCTCGCAGTGGCCAGCATCTGCTTTAATGAGGTTTTCCCTACTCCCTGCCACACTGCAACTCCCAGCTGAATTCAGTTTGTTCAGGAGAGTCTGTAGTTATGACTTTTTGTGAGAATTATCTAGATTTTTTTTTTTTTAACAGACACCAAACAGGTCAGGGCATGCAGTACCAGGTAAGGCTGCCATATGTTACTGTTTTTCAGTCTCTTGGTTCGGTTAGCTCTGCTCCCTACCACATTAGACCCGACCCTTACCTCCTTGTACATTAAGGTTTAATCTATAAAGTGCCCTCCCCCCTTGCCCCCCAGGTCACTGGTTGAAACTCAGTACTAGTTCAGGTCAGTGAGGGCAGCTGTTGTCTAGTCCATAACTTCATAACTACATCCTGCATGTGCTTTGATGAGCAAGGTCAGTACTGTCCTACCCCACCCTTCAAATTCACACTAAGCAAGGACTGGGATCAGGGCACAGTACTCAAAAACCGTCTTAGCAACATAATAAAAGAAGACAAGCTAAAAACATTAGTGCTGCTGTACAGAATAACATGAATCCTAAAGCAGTTCCAGCCCTTGGTATTGGAAGAGATCTGAAGTCATTTGTGGGTATGAGGGTAGGAAGGTGGCAACCTCTGTGTCCTTGGGAAGAAGCTTCCAGAAGTAGGACAGGACACTATAATCCCAGATGGGGTCTCAGGTGACTCCTAACAGCTGAGGCAATGCTAGACGTTGAGGGGTGTATGGGGGCAGCTCTCTGTGTCTCTGAAGTTGGGCAGTTGGGCGCAGTTCTCTGTGCTCATCCATTGTTGCTTTGGGCAAAATGCCAACAAATGCAAACCCCACACATTCAAATTGTTCACCAGGACACCTGTTAATGCAGTCAGACTTGTGTGTTCGTAACAAGTTCTAGAACAGCACAGACTGCTTCTGCAAGAGGATTCTGGAAAGAGCATTCCAGAGTCGGGGCATGAGTGCATTATGTTTTCAAGCAGCTGGTGCCAGGTTTCCCTCTACCGGGTGCCCCTCTTCCTATCTGCCATGTGGTTTGAGAATACCTACTTCCCATGTCCGCAACGGAAATCACAGCCTTTTCATCTTTCACAGCACTACTGAGTGCTGCTTTAAATTGTATTTCTTAAAACATCTCTCAGTTTGCCCTTGTTTCATGTGTAGGCAGCCTGTATTTATTTTCTGAATTGTGTGGTCTTCGTCTACTGGCTATTGTGGACTCTACAGGTTGATTCTCCTTCCTGAGTCCTATCTCTTCCACAGGGACATGCTGAATGTCACAACCTGGGCTAATGGCTTGTTCCTTGGCTAACTACTCCTTTTCCCTTTCTGGAAAATCGGCAGAAGGAGCAGTTAAGCACGAAGGGCCGGCCCTTCCGCGGCATGTCTGAAGAGGAGGTGTTCACTGAGGTCGCCAACCTCTTCCGGGGTCAGGAGGACCTGCTTTCCGAGTTTGGACAGTTCTTGCCTGAAGCCAAGAGGTCTCTGGTGAGTACAGAGCTTCCACCTGGCCAGGGAACCCTGTGCCTCAAGGCCACCCCCAGGCCAGGCCAGGTTTGTCTGCCTCTAGGGTTACTGTGGGATCTCCCAGAAACCACATGGTGTAGACATCCTGTCAGATCCTCCAAAGGGCTGCTCTGTATAGACAGAGCAGGGTGCCAGGAAGGTTTGGGAGATCAAGGTCATTCCCCCCATGGAGATCCTACTTGCAGCAGGACCCTGTGGGCAGTAGTTCTTGGGGGCTCTCGCACATCGTCTGCTTTTCTGTAGGGACCCAGTAGGGGGAACTCAGGTTTGATAGTGACTTAGGTAGGGGACACACAGCAGGGAGAAAGGCTGACAGGCTACACTGTCAGCCTTTCTCCCTGCTGTGGCCTCAGCCCTCCTGGCTTCCTTTCACTATCTATTTTTCTTTTTCCTATGAACTTTTTTTTAAAAAAAATTTTTATGAAGTAAAACTTACATAAAATTCACCATTTTAAAGTGAACAAGTCAGTGACATTCAGTGCAGCTGCCATGATGTATAACCACCTCTGTCTAATTCGTGAACATTCTACACCCCCAAAAAAGACCCTGTACCTCATTCCTCATGCCCCTTCCTCAGTACCTATATAACCACTCATATGCTTTCTATCTGGACTTGCCTGTTCTAGGCATTTCCTGTGATGGTCACATACTAGGTGGCCTTTTGTGTCTGGCTTCTCTCACTCAGTATCATGTTTTCAGGTTCATCCTCCTGGCATGTGTCAGGGCTTCACTCCTTTTGTGGTTGATGATGTTCTGATGTGTGGGTAGATCATGTTGGTTATCTCTTATCTGTTGTTTCAGGACTTAAGCCATTTTTATATCTGAATAATACTCTACAGTGTGAATGGATTTCAGTGTGTTCATTCATTTGTCCATTTATGGACATTTTGGTCATTTGTATTTTGGAGGCACTATGAATAGTTCTGCTGTGAATTTTTGTATAAAGAATTGTTTAAACATCTGTTTTCAATTCTTTGGAATCTGTACCTAGGAGTGGAATTACTGGGTCATATGGAAATTCAATGTTTAACTTTTTTGAGGAACTGCCAGCATGTTTCCACAGTGGCTGCACCATTTCATGTTCTCACTAGCCATGTTCTAGGGTTGCATTTTGTCTGCCTCCTCACCAACACTTTTCTATTTTGTTAAGTCCAGCCATTCTAATGGGTGTGAAGTGGTATCTCATTATGATTTTGATTTGCATTTTCCTAATAACTTACAGTATTGAGCATCTTTTCATGTGCTTGTGATTTCTTATGCTTTTATATTGTCTTTGGAGAAATGTCTATTTCAGTTCTTTGCCTGTTGTTCAGGTTGCCTTGTTGTTGAGTTGTAAGAGTCCTTTAATTATTCTGGACATTACACCTTTATCAAATGTATTCCTCCATTTTTCAGATTGTCATTTCATTCTTATATTCTTTTTTTTAAAGATTTATTTATTTATGCATACAGAACTGGGGTACAGGCCAGAGGTTCAGGACGGCAAGAGGATTCACTAGAGACAGAGTGGGGAACCAACAGGCAGACTGATGAAGTACGCTGCTGAGGGGAGCAGCGGGCGGGTGAGGAGAGGTCTGCTGTGCCATGTGGGTCAGCTCCCTGGCCGAGGATCAAACTCATGCTGAAGTGGCTTTGGCTTCTTAGTACTGTGCTTTAACCCGCTGTACCACCAGGGAGGGCCCTCATTCTTTTATTCTTTAACGCACATACATTTTTAATTTTGTACATTCAGTTTATTTTTTTCTTTTGTTGTTCATTCTTTCAGCGTCAAATGTAAGAATCCATTGTTAGATCTGAAGTCATGAAAGTTTCCCCCTATGTTTTCTTCTAATAGTTTAATGATTTCCGGTCTTTGATGTGTTTTGAGTTAACTTTTGTATATGGTATGAGCTAAGGGGTCGAGCTTCATTCTTTTGCACATGGGAATCCAATTGTCCCAGTACCGTTTGTTTAAGAAAATGTATTATTCCTGTTGAATCATCTTGTTACATTTGTATGAATTCAAGTGACCATAGTTGTAAGGATTTGTTTCTCACTCAGTTCTAATCCATTGATATCCATTTCTGTCTCCAGTATCATTTTGTTTGGATAATGGTATTTTACAGTAAGTTCAAAATCAGAAGTGAGTCTTTCAAATTTGTTCTTTTTCCAGGTTGTTTTGGCCATTCAGGGCCCCATGCAATTTCATGAATTTGAAGATGATCAGCTTTTTCATTTCTTAAAAAAAAGGCTAGTGGGATTTTGATAAGGACTGTATTGAATCTTGATAACTTTGGGGAATACAGATGGTTGCAGTCTTAATAATGGTCCGACTTGACAGTATTTCCACTTCACAAAGCGGTGAAAGCAGTGTGTGTCAGTAGAAGCCGCAGTGCTGTTCTTGTTCTAGACAACAGCAGCAAGACACAGCTTCCAGTCAGTAATTTTTTGTTTACAGGATTCAATTCATGGTGTGTTAATTAGGACATAACCCCACTGAAGATTTTTACAACACTGTCTTCAGTCCCTGAACACAAGACATTCTTTCAGTTATTTATGTCTTCTTTATTTCTTTCAGCTATATTTTGTAGTTTTCAGTGTAGACATCTTGAATCTCCATGGTCAGATTTATTCTCAAGTATTTTATTTTTCGTCCTATTTTAAGTGAGCTTATTTTCTTAATTTCATTTTTGAATTATTTGTCATTAGTTTATAGAAACACCAGTGAACTTTGTGTGTTGGTTTTGTTATTCTTTACTTTGCTAAGTCTATTTAACTAATGATTTTTTTTTTAACTGTAATGATTTTTGTGGATTTGTTAGGATTTTCTATATATCATGCCACCTGCTGGTAGAGATAGTTTTTCCTTTGTCCTTTCCAGTTTGGATGGCTTTCATTTCTTTTTCTTTCCTAAAAGCTCAGGAAAATTCTTCCATTCCCCATCTTCCATATAATGTGAGCTGAGGGTTTCATAGACATCATTTATCCGGTTGAGGAGTAGCTCTTCTAGTCCCAGTTTGGTGAGAATTTCAATCCTCTTTTCCTTTCAGCCCCTAATGACCACTGGGGTGTGAGCACATGAGAACCCCCAACCTCCATGCATCCCCACCACCTCTCCCAGGTTCCACTTCTGAATAGAGATGCCGTAGGAGGTCAGATCTGAGGGCTGCAGGTCTTGGAGGGTTGGACTGAGGGACTGGGCTGGGGGTGGTGAGGGAGTCTTGAGTTGGGACCTGACAAGGCAGGCAGCAAACAGTGCAGTCCCACATGTGCGGGATAGAGTGCTGACCCTTGGCCAGGATTCCTCCCAGAAGCACCTTCATACTCAAAGTCAGAGAAGCTCTGTGTCATCTCTGGGGCAGACATCAAGTCCTGCAGCTATAGCCCATCCTCCAACCTTCCTGGTGCTTTGGGTGTCCTCGGGGGTTATAAGAGCCCTTTTGAGCACCAGCTTGGGCTATGGTACTCTCTTGGCCTCTTTGTGTGCTGCAGGTGGGCATGAGCTAGCTGCTCACCTCCTGGGCCTTGTTTCCTGCTTTCTTGCCTAGGGAATCAGTGACCCTCTTGTTCAGATAGGGAATCAGCAGTCTGCTTATGGTGCTTCCTGCAGACCTGACATGTACATGGTGCTTCAAAAGAGTACTGCAGTTTTGCAGAAATCAAGCATGTCATTCTGTACTGCCAACAGTGACCCTCCCCCTTCCCCCCACCTCCCCCGAATGTACACCTGTGAGGGCAGAGTGTCCCTCTGTGTCCCCAGGCCCATTGGATGCCCTTAGGCCCCTACCCTGGCGTCCAGATTTCTTTTCCAAGTCAACGGTCTGCCTCTTTGTGTCTCTGAAGTTCAGAACCCACCTTGATCCTTTTTTTTTTTTTTATTTTTTTGCGTAGAACTAGAGTTTAGTGTAAACCACCAGGGAGGCCTCCCCTTTTTGATTCTTTTCTCCCTTATCCCAAACTTGTTCTTTGTGGTCTGATTATCATTCCGCCCTCCTCTCTGTACATTACTGGTCGCCAAAGACTCCTAACTTTAGTTCCAGTGGCCACATGGCCACAGGGAGCAGGGGTCTCACTGCCATCCTTCCAGTTGCTCCCTTGTGAGTTATAGTCTCAAAGTGTTAGGCTCAGCCTTCTTTGTCTCACTGTGAAGCCCCAGCTTGCCCCTTCATGTGCTGGGTCGGTCATCTCTGGGTCCCATCCTCTTGGATCTGGTTTTGCATCTCAGCTCTAATCTCAGTGTTAGCGACTCTTCTCCTGAACCATGACTTTGCAGAGCCATCACTAAAGGAGCTGAATGGTATAGGAGGACCATGGCCTCAGGGGCGAAAGGCTGAAAGATGTGGCCAAGTCCTAGACCAGCTTTTGCTGCCCTGGCAGGAGCAGGAGCCAGGATAACACTGCACATCCCAGGGAGGCTCAAGAGCCATTGGCCTTAACAGGTGGTGCAGTTCCTGAAGCAAGGGCTCATGGTAGCATATCTGGTTGTGTCAGACTTTGTCACCTTTTTCCTGTGGAACCTGGCAGGTCTTCTAGCCTCCTGCCTCATCTACAAATGGTTATGGAGGTGTTTCCTCCAGGTTCGTCAGAGGATTCTTTAGTAAAGCGTCTGGCCAGGGAGAGCCAGGACTCCTTTGCTGGCTGCAAACACGTCCACAGAGTCGGGAAAGTGAGTGAGGAACCCTGTCTGAGGACATGGTATACCACACAGGGACACTCAGTACCGGTAAGCCTGGCAGTCCACAGTGCCTGCCTAAACCTTGCTGTGCTGTGGTCTGGGCAGCCATAGGCCCTTGGGTTTTGTCAGGGCAGGAGGAGTAGGGATGGGGGTGAGGGGGCTCTGCGCTGGAAGCTCCCCCTGGTGGGCACAAGTCAGCATCTACAGGTGGACACTCTCGGAGATGCCCTAGAAAGGTAAGCCTTTTCCACAGAATACTAGCAGTGGTATTTGCTATCAAGTCAGCACTGTTTTTAAGTGTATTTTTAGGTAACTAGGGTTATCCTTGTACATTTTTTAAAATTGACTTAGTCTTTATAATTAAAAAATCCCACCTATAGTTACTATAGAAAATATCCTTTATATTAAATTTCCTATTTCTGTTAAAACTACAGGAACCAAAAATGAAACTTGATATTATTCTAATTAAGGTTAACCATTTGACCTTGATCCAGAGGGGTTAATAAACTTCTGTAAGGGGCCAGCCACAACGATCTTAGGCTTTGTGGACCAGCAGGTCAACAAGTCTTGAACCAGACACCAGTGAATGGGCATGGCTGTGTGCCAATAAAACTGGTTATTCACAATAAGCTAAGCATTTTGAATATGCTGGGCCCCAGGCCTTCGGGCGTCCAACTAGTGCACACATTTACAAGTTGGGACATTTAACAAAAAAGTAGGAACTGTCTAACTGTTAGGGGAAGGTAAGTGATCTCTCTGGCTGGGATGATGTGACAGGATAAGCAGTGGTTTCCCCTTGAGGTCCACAATCCCCCTCTCTGCTCATGTCATAGTGACCCTTGTGTGTCTCTTCAGGAAACATCATATGTAGCTGTTCTAGGAACTAGAAAAAAGAAATACCAGTTGAGAATTTTTCCACTTAAGATGCCCTCCTTCCCCAAGGGACAGGTTTTGCCTGTGGTTAAATGGTAGACCTTTATTGTTTTAACAATACATAAATAGTCATGGAAAAAAATCACACATTAGTAAGGGTATCAAGTATGAAAAGTTGTCCTCAGTTTACCATTACATTCCTCAGTTAAGCACTCTTAAATATATTTTGTGTCTTTCCAGAAATATCCTCTGCATGTGCAAACACATTCATCTTTTAAAAAAATAAATGGCGTGCTGTTTATTCTGTCCCTAGGGCTTGTGGGTTCCCCGCCTACCCCACCCCCTTTTTTTTTTTACATAACAGTATATCAGGTACATGACACAGAGATACCTGCTCATCTGAGAGTTGCTCGCTGCTTTGTATACACCAGGACTTTTTCACCTGTCCACACTTGGAACTGGCAACATGCCTTCTGTTGTGTTTCTGAACCAACTTCTGTGCTAGGACAGAAAGCATGGTTGGGTTATAGGGATTGTTCAGAACATCGTGTGGGGCCTTATCTTGTCTTACAGAAAAGATGTGGTCTGTCTGCCTTTCCCCTTCCTGCTCTAGCTTTAGGGAACCTTCAGAGAAATGCAAAGCCTCAGTAGATTTTACTAGAACCATTCTTTGTAATTATTGTTATGAATACCCTGCTTGGGATGAGTATCCTTAACTTCATGGTTAGGTTGGCCTCAAGCCTGGTAAGATGACCTCCCACCTAGTGATTGCCCCAAAGATGCCATTTTCTCTTTCACAGAAAGGAACACAGACTGGGCCCCCCCCAAGGACCTCCCCCCTCCCCAACTTCCTCATAACATTCTCTTTGTACCCAAGCAGTGTGTGAACCAGTCCTCCTGCCTGAAATGCCTTTCCTTTGTTTGGTGCTATTGAACATACAGTCAGACCTGCATTGTCAGTGGCCTGCTGGGTGACACCTACCCAAAGGCCCAACTCTAGGTCTCTCCCCACCCCCAGCCCTTCTTGTCTCCATCTGGACCCTCATCCACAGGGGCTTCGAAGAGCCCCTCCCTGCCTCATGGTGCTACCCCATGATGATCTGGATACTTGGTCTCTCCTCCATTAGACGGGAGGCACCTTGGGGAGGGTCATCTTGCATGCAGGCATGACCTCTGGCCTCTGGCAGACAGTGTGCCGGGACCCTAGGCTCAGCAGAGGCAGTCCTGTGTGATCCTGGAGATCAGCATTGCGGCCTGGGTGTTTCCCAGTGCTATTCACCTCTCCTATGTGTATCCTCAGTTCACAGGAAATGGGCCATGTGAAATGAACAGTGTCCAAAAGAGTGAACACGAGAAGAATCTGGAACACAGCAAAAAGCGCTCCCGGCCCTCTCTTCTGCGTCCTGTATCTGCACCTGCCAAGGTAACCCTTGACCGTGGGGTCTAGCCTTACCTGTAGGTGACCCAAGGAGCAAGTGCAAAGCCCTGCTTGCCAGAGCCGTTGTGAACCTTCATCTGTCTTGAAATTCACCAGATGTGGGACCTTGGGACCTTGGGATGTGGGCCAGCTCTAATGTGGTCATTCACAGAGCTCCCTGGCTCTTGAGTGTGTCATGAGGAGTGCGCTCTCCTGTGGAGATGCACTGTGTTGCTCAGGCTCTTTTTCTTAACTTCACAGTTCTTTCACTGAGGACTACTACACAAGGCACCCTACCTAGGCGGGAAAGGATGAGATCCAGTTACTGTTCCACGCACTACCCTAATTCCATCATTCCTCGTGTAGTTACTTATTGACTTTCTTCCTTAAGGAAAATGTTTCTCTTCATCTCCACTTACATAGTTACTTCTGTCGGTCAAAACTCCATCTTATAATCCATGACTGTCAGTTTATTTTGAGGGCCAGCCCTTCTTTATTTGACCAATGAGCCCCGGAAGCTGATTTCTGTCACCTTGTGACATACCCTCATCGTTCCTTAGGTGCTTTAAAAAGGAATTGAACTATGCAGTAGCTTTCTTCATTCCTCAGGAATGTGGCCAAGTTCAGGTCCAAGTGCAGCTTAGAGACAAAAGCTGTCACAAAGTCTTTTAAAGCCTGGTCCTCCCAGTGCTGTCCCCATTCAGTCCCTTTCCCATCACCCTCAAGGCCCACAAGACAATACAGTCAGGGGAGAAATTTCTGATACTGTAACCTAGGGTTCCTCTTCCTGGCTATTCTGATTTCATTGTGCTATCAGGACTTTAAACTGCTGATTTAAATCCCAGATTGTGGGTGGGGAGGTCTTGTAACCTTCACCCTATACCAGGTAATAGAGGCCAAGCTGGGCAGTCCTTAGAGGTTCATGCACAGGAGTCCTGGGAAGAAATTAGCCTGCACCTCATGGCAGTTTTGGTGCTAAGACAGAGATGGACGGGAGCCTTGTGGGTTGGCCAGAACATCAATTGTGCATAATTTCTTTCTGCAGAAGAAAATGAAACTCCGTGGCACCAAAGACATGTCCATTGCCACTGTGGGCAAGTATGGGACCCTGCAGGAGTTCTCCTTCTTTGACAAGGTGTGCACTCCAATACCACCAACCACCCCATCCGGCTGACCTGCCCAACTCAGATCTGCAGAACAGAACACTGGAAGTGGGGGGGTTCTGGGAGGCGGGCCCATCCTCCCCCATTCCCCACTCTCACAGCCACAGGCAGTGTAGTTGTCATGGAGCAGGTGGAGTGTGTCACAGATGCAAGTCAGCGGGGTTTGAGGCCACACCAGCCACACCGATGCAGGCACAGTCCCGGGGCCCCCGCCCAGGCCCAGTGGCAAGAGCCAGCAAGGTAACCGTGTGCATAGTCACTCGGTGACTCTGCATACACCACAGGTTGGGCCTGGGGCCTCCTGACTTGCCATCCTCACAGGTACGCAGGGTGCTGAAGAGCCAGGAGGTCTATGAGAACTTCCTCCGCTGCATCGCGCTCTTCAACCGGGAGCTCGTGTCTGGCTCTGAGCTCCTGCAGCTCGTCAGCCCATTTTTGGGGTGAGTGACCCTCTCTTGCTCCCCACCTAGATATCTTTAAATTCTGTCCTCCTCCTTTGGGCATTAGTTTTGAAAAACGACTCTGTCCTTGAATGAAAGTGGCTCTAGACGTGCATGTAGGTTCATTGTGCTTGTCTGAAGAGCAAGGCCAGGATTCCTTGCGTAGGTGTCTGTGTGTCCACGTCCGTCTGTACTCCTCATCAGTAAAGATTCTGTGTCCCGCACAGGTGAGCTGCTGACTGGCTGCTGCATCTCAGGGATCCTGCTCCCTCCTGCAAACCCCGACAACCATTGATCTGTGCTCTACCTCTAACACTTAGTAACAGTAGTGCCATATAAACACAGTCCTAAAGTGTGTGACTTTTGGGATCAGTATTTTCACCCAGCGTAATTCCCCAGAGAGTCACTTGAGTATGCTTTCTGCAATTGCAATTGTAATGATCAGGAATGCAAGGAATCAGGACGAGTGTTTGGCACGCCTGCTGCCCTGAGAGAGCCCTGTCAGTGGGTCAGAGCCCAGTGCTGTAGCCAAGGGAGGGTGGGCATGGTCCTGCGCGATGCACTCAAGCATGCTGGATGCACAGTGCACTCTGGTAGCAGGTTTGTTGGGCCCAGGATCCTTTGCCCCTGCCCCGCCCACCATCTTGAGTTTCTTAATCTGGTCTGAGCCCCAGTTTTCCTGCTATAAAATGGGAATCAAAAATGCACAAAGTTGGCATTATGAGGTGTCATCTTTATCCCTAAAGACACCTCAGGGCAGGTGCTGTCAGCCCCATTCTGTTCATTATAGAATTTTAATTCTTTTTTAATGTAAAATAAAACATGCAAAAATCCTCACGACAGATGAATGACTTGATGAATTGTTATTGGATATACCCCCAAGTCCCATCCCCCCACAGGTCACAGACAGACCCTTGCTAGCCCCTGGGATCCGGCCACACCTCTCTGATGCTGCTCCGACTCCTGTCAGTGATCAGAGCCCAGTCCACGGGAAGGTGGCGTGCTGGTATTGGAGGGACTACACCCTAGCACTTCCTGTGGCAGAGCCAGCCTCTATTTGCGTGTGGGAACTCTGGGCTGGGTGTGCCCAGAGAGCTGCCACTTAATCAAGGAAGGTCACCAGGGCTTGTGGATGTGTTGGGGTATGTGCCCCCTACAGAGTGTTCACCATGCCTCAAGCATTCTGTGCACCAGTTTTATTTCTGAATTCTATCCCCACGTTTTGTTTGCTGTGGTTTTCTTGGTGAGCTGAGTTGGTGTACATCTTTATATCCTTACAGGTAGGGCTTAGCAGATGGCCTTCTTGTGGGGGCTGCAAGGAACAGCATCGGTAGTGGATATAGCTTGACAAGGGGAGTCTGCCTGGCTGTAGGTCACTTGCATTAAAATCACCCCCACAGACATGCATGGACATTTTATTATGACTCGTGAGTATGTGTCCTCAGGGGGTTTTCCCTGGAAAAGTTTCCTTCAAGGCAGAAGGTTCTGGGGCAGAGGTTCCAAAGGACCAAGGATTGAGATTACTTAACTCTGGCCTCATCCTGCACCAGTAGCCACAGATGACACTAAGTGAAGAGACATGACTGTGCCGATAAAACGGCATAAAGGCAGGTATCTACCTCATGCTTGGCTCTCTCCTCCAGGGAGCACAGCCGGCCCAGCTCTGCCAGTCCAGGTGCTGACAGGGGCGCTAGAGGCAGGCTCACATGTGCATGTATGTGACATTTAGTTTGGTTCACCTGCCACTTCTCCCTGACACTGAACTCTGACCATCTTTAAACACAGGCAGGCTTCTGATGGCAGCCACTCCAAAATCTTTGGATTACTCCCAGAAGACCCTAGGATGCTGACTCATGTTTGTCTTTATTTCTGAAGGAAATTTCCAGAACTCTTTGCACAGTTCAAGTCCTTTCTGGGGGTAAAAGAGCTGTCATTTGCCCCACCCATGAGTGATAGATCTGGTGATGGAATAAGCCGAGAAATTGACTACGCATCATGCAAGCGCATTGGATCCAGCTACCGGGCACTCCCCAAAACCTACCAGCAGCCCAAGTGCAGTGGAAGGACAGCCATTTGCAAGGAGGTATTGTCCCATGGACTCACATGGGCTTAGTGGCGCATACTTTCACCCCAGCAGAAGCCACACAGGGAAGACTGAGTGTCTTCCCCACATGTTGAATGATGGGTGGTGCTGGAATGTGACAAAACTGAGCGCCTGAGTAGAGGTGACAGTTTCTCACCCTTTTGGTAGTTTTGGCGAGCAACAGAGCTTCCGGTTTAGGGTTCACTTATTCCTCTGTTAGACTCAGTCTAACTACTAATTAGATTTAGTCTGCTATGATTCCATTTTCCCTTTTCACTGCCATCTGTTTCCACTTAGCTTGGTGTCTGAACTCTTTCAGTCTTAGTGGATAGGCTGTTAACTTCGTTTCAAGGATTCAGAGTGCCTGCTGATTCCAGCATAAAGTCCAGGGACGAAATTAGACATGTTGCCTGTTGCATTGTGCTCACAACCCTGCAAATCTGTCTTCATGTGGCCTGTGGCAGCTTCACCAGGTCACCGGCAGAACTGAGTGATCCCAGCAGAGACCCAGTGACCCACAGCACCTAACATATTTACTGCCTGGCCCTTTTTAAAGTTTGTCGACTCTCGATAGTATAATTTGTTTACCATTCCCAAAGTCACGTTTTCTCCCTAAAACCTCTTTAAAATTAATTTTTTTTTAAAGATTTATTTGTGCATACAGAACTGGGGTATAGGCCAGAGGCTCAGGGGTGGCGAGAGGCTTCACCAGAGACAGAGTGGGGAGCAGAACAGGCAGATCTACAAAGTACACTGCTGAGGGGAGCAGCGGGCGGGTCAGGAGAGGTCTGCCACGCCATGTGGTCACCTCCGGGACAGGCGGGCATCGAACTCATGCGGAAGCGGCTTTAGATTCTCAGTGCTGTGCTTTAACCTGCTGCGCCACCAGGGAGAGCCTAAAATTAATTTTACTGTGTGCATGATAGAGTGATTTCTTGTAAAATAAAGATGCCATTACCATCCTCACTTCTTGTGCCCTGAAGGATACAGCATGTAGCGCTGGCCACTCTTGTTTGCCGTGTTGCTCATAGTTTTGTTCTTGGTGCAGGTGCTGAATGACACCTGGGTCTCTTTCCCCTCCTGGTCAGAGGACTCCACTTTCGTCAGCTCCAAGAAGACACCCTACGAGGAGCAGCTGCATCGCTGTGAGGACGAACGATTTGAGGTGCGTATACTGGTGCTATAGACCCCCACCCAGGATAGAGTTTCTAGGTACTTGCCCTTCCTCCCGGCTCTCGTCCTCATGCCTTGCTCTCTTGGAATGGATCCTTCGTCTCTTTACTGCCCACAGCTCCCTCTGAGTGTCAGGGACAGCTTCCAAAAGCTTGCCTGTTTGCCTTGCTGACCTGTGTGCTGACTCAGTGATGGTGCTCATTTCTTTTTTTTTTTTTTAAAGATTTATTTATTTATTCATATAGAACTGGGGTACAGGCCAGAGATGCGGAGGGTGAGAGGATTCACCAGAGACAGAATGGGGAGCAAAACAGGCAGATCGACGAAGTACACTGCTGAGGGGAGCAGCGGGCGAGTCAGGTCTGCCACGCCATGTGGACTCCTCCGGGGCAAGCGGGAATCGAACTCATGAGGAAGTGGCTTAAGCTTCGTAGTGCAGTGCTTTAACCCGCTACGCCACCAGGGAGGGCCTGGTGCTCATTTCTTTTTGATTTTAAGGGAAAATAATATATTTTTAAACTTAATTAGTTGGATTAATATTAGGTTAACTGAAGTTGACTTTCTTGGTTGGAATTTTTACTGAGATCACTGTAGATTACAGTTGCAGCACATTAGCCCTGAGCTTTGCCCTGAGCTCCTGTCCCCAGCCCCCCCACCTCCATGGCCGATCCTTTCCTGTCTTCCTTTCATAGTTAGATGTTGTCCTGGAGACCAACCTGGCCACCATCCGGGTGCTGGAGAGCGTGCAGAAGAAGTTGTCTCGAATGGCACCTGAGGACCAAGAGAAGTTCCGACTGGATGACTGTCTGGGTGGCACGTCGGAGGTTATCCAGCGCCGTGCCATTCACCGCATCTATGGGGACAAAGCCCCAGAGATCATCGAGAGCCTCAAGAAGAACCCTGTCACTGCTGTGCCTGTCGTCCTGAAAAGGTGCCCCCTGCTCCTGGCCCTCCACCTGCTTGGCCCCAGGGGCTCATTAGTGCTGTAGTCACAGGCATAACTTCGAGGGGCCCCAGGGCCAGGGCTGGCACTGTGTTTCCAGGCTTCTTTCATTCCCTGTGCACTCCCATGAGGGAAACACAGTAAAGGCTGTCTGTGTCCTTCAGCATATTCTGCCTTAAGCATAATTATATACAAATATTCGTGAATTTCAAGCTCTTTCAAAACACAGCGGCACCTCTACACATGGTGTGCCTGACGTCTCAGGGGCTCCCTGTGCCGTGACTGATGAAGTAGCTGCCTCTGCTGGTGCTGTGCTTGGCGCTGGGATGGCAGACTGAGCCAGCCAGCACTGCCTTTCCCTTGTGGAACTCATAGTTCAGCAGGGGCGCGCCGAGATCTATTTAACAACTACATGGAGTATAGTCAGGGTCCTGACCAGGACAGGGGAGACATTTGAGGGCAGCAGTGTTGGAGAAACCATAAAACTAGCCTTGTCGCTTCAGTGGGCCTTGTTTCCTCCCTCCCTGCCTTATTCATCATGGAACCCACCGCACAGTCAGGCTGGTCTGCTCCTGAGATTGGAATGCACTGGGCCAGGGCTCTGGGTGGAAGACAGGTCGGCCCTGGGAGGGATGACTCAGGCTGTCCCCCTGGGCTACCCCCAGGCTGTCCCGGGCTGAGCCCCTCTGCCCCCTGCAGGCTGAAAGCCAAGGAGGAGGAGTGGCGGGAAGCACAGCAGGGCTTCAACAAGATCTGGCGGGAGCAGTATGAAAAGGCATACCTCAAGTCCCTGGACCACCAGGCTGTGAACTTCAAGCAGAATGACACCAAGGCCCTTCGCTCCAAAAGCTTGCTCAATGAGATCGAGAGTGTCTATGACGAGGTGAGGCCTCCTTGGGCAGGTCTGAGCAGGCCTTGGGGGGGTTGCCACACTCTGTGTCTGTTTCCCAAGTGTTGCCTGCCAGCGCTGCATAGGGATGAGTACCAACATTTGTGTGACTTCAGGCTCTGGCCAACCTGGAGAAAGGATGGAGGGTGATAACAACCCTGACATTCTGACATTGTCGGCAGGGGTTCCCAACACATGCACATGCACATACACGGGCCCTTCTGGGAGAAGGATGGAAAGTGGCAGCAGCTCTGTCATTGCCAACAGAGGCTCTTAGCTCCCCTCCCCTCTCCTGCCGCCGCTGCTCTCCCCCTCACATATACGTACAGGCCTTTCCTATAGCAGCTTTCCTTTCTGTGCCACCGACCTAAGACCAGGCACTATTGGAACCCTCAGCAGAAACACCCAACTCTGGCTCACAAATTTTACTGTGCAGTTCTCCTCATTTTAGCATTGAAGAAACTGAGGCCTAAGAGGAGGCTACTTGCCAAGGTCACAGGAAACCAGGTCTCCAGACCCTGTGGCACCCGCCTCCAGGCTCTCAGTCCTCCAGGAGCATGGGTAATGGGATGCTGGTCCAGCTGTACCCAGATTAGAGTGGGCTGGCAGCAGATGCCCCAGGCTCTTTCCTCGGAACTCCTTCCTAATGCTGCCGCTTCCCCAGCACCAGGAACAGCATTCAGAGGGCCGCAGTGCCCCCTCCAGTGAGCCGCACCTCATCTTCGTGTATGAAGACAGGCAGATCCTGGAAGATGCAGCTGCCCTCATCAGCTACTACGTGAAGCGGCAGCCAGCCATCCAGAAGGAGGACCAGGGAGCCATCCACCAGCTGCTGCATCAGTTCCTGCCCAGCCTCTTCTTCTCACAGCAGCTGGACCTGGGTGCATCAGAGGACTCTGCCGATGAGGGCCGGGGCAGCCCTCAGGGGCAGAACGCAGACCTTGGTGACCGGAAGAAACCGGCGCCCGAGCAGCAGAGCAGCTCCCCGGAGGAGAAAGGAGCTCCGGGGGAGGCGCCAGCTGCCGAGCCGCCGCCACCACCACATAAGCCGTTGGATGATGTCTACAGCCTCTTCTTCGCCAACAACAACTGGTACTTCTTCCTGCGCCTGCATCAGACCCTGTGTTCCAGGCTCCTGAAAATCTACCGCCAGGCACAGAAGCAGCTTCTGGAGTACCGTGCTGAGAAGGAGCGTGAGAAGCTGCTGTGCGAGGGCCGCCGTGAGAAGGGCAGCGATCCCGCCATGGAGCTGCGGCTGAAGCAGCCCAGTGAGCCCAGGGGAAAGTTGGGGGTCGAGGGGCAGGCCAAAGCTGCTCATTGAGCCTGGGGAGGGGGGCAGATGGCTATGACCAAGCACCCCAAAGGTTAGGGTCCTCAGTCAGTAATCAGAAATCCGTTGTATTTTTACTGACTTCATTTTAAACTAGTTGTCATCTTAGATGAGACATTTCAAGTGGGCAGTGGCAGAGACACTTACGGGTACCTTCCTGGCTCCCACTCTGGGAAGGCACCCACTGTGCTCCCTCCCTGCTGGGTGTGAGGCTCCTGAGCCTGCCTCCAGGACCACTGCCCTTGGGTTGGAGGCCATACTAGGAAGCCTAGCGGCAGGAGGCAGAAACGTGGCTGCTGTGTTGGTGCGTCTGGCTGATTGTGCCTGTGACCCCAGTGACTGCCTGCCTCCCCAGGTGAGGTGGAGCTGGAGGAATACTACCCGGCCTTCCTGGACATGGTGCGGAGCCTGTTGGAGGGCGGGATTGACCCCACACAGTACGAGGACACCCTGCGAGAGATGTTCACCATCCACGCCTACGTGGGCTTCACCATGGACAAGCTGGTGCAGAGCATCGCCCGGCAGGTAAACCGTCTAAGACACCGAGGGACCCCTCCCCCTACTGGGGAGACCCAGAGGTCTCCCACTGCCTGCTTTGCTAGTGTTAGTGGCCCCATGATGGCAAGTTCCTTTTTTTTTCCCCAATTGAGATAGAATTCACTATTTTGAAAGTGAATGACCTCATTCCCATTCCCCCCTCCCAGTCTCTGACAGCCACCAATCTGCTTTCTGCCTGGATTTGTCTGTTCCTGGCTTTTCCTATGAATGGGTCACACACCTGGCCTTTTGTGTCTGGCCTCTTACTGAGCTTCATGTTTTCAGGGTTCATTCACAGCATAGTATGTCTGTGGCATTCCTTGTCATGACAATTATTCCTCTGTGTATAGTCAGTCAGCAGAGGTGCATTTTGTGCAAAGTGTCGTCATACGATTTTATCGCTGTGTGAACATCGGTGTAATTGCCTGAGTCATGTGGCCTACTGTACTCCTAGGCTAGACATAAAGCCCTCGCCGCACATCATCTTTGACTGAACTGTCATTATGTCTTCATGACTGAATACATCGACATTTACTCACTAGTTACCCATAACTGGACACTGGGACCACTTTTTGGTGGTATGAGCGGTGCCACTGTGGACATGCACACACAAGGAGCTGTTTGAGTCTCCTGTGGACAAACTTTCTTGAGGGTAGTTGCAACATTGTGAATAACCCTACCCCACACATCTCCTGGGAGGAAATATCAGTGATGCTTATCAGCATTGTTTATAGCAGCAGCAGAATTGCCCATAGCTAAATGTCAGCAAGAGGAAACAGGTCACGTAAATATAAACTGTAAAGCCCTGAAAGTCTGGGACATAGTGGTGCTGGCTTACTGAGTTGTTCGGCTTGACTCGTTTCCTGATTATCAAGTAAGACTATTCACTTTAAGGCGGAAGTGAAGGTGGAGAAAGAATACTGGCATTACTTTCCCACCCAGATCCAGTCATTTGAAGTATTTTAGAGTCTAGAATTATTTCAGGCATTTCCTTCCAAGTTTTAAAAGATTTTATGGAAGTGAAGCACACACACACACAAATGTTCAAGTCCCAAAAAGGCAGCTTGGTTGGTTTTCACAGAGACCCCACCCCCCACCCCTTTGTGGCGGGCACGCCCCACCTAAGGGCAGCTACTGCCCTGGTTGCTCACACTGGGCAGGTTCCCTGGTTTCCAGCTGCGTGTGGATGGCAGCACACGGCATGTCTGACTCACCCAGGCAGTGTGGCTCTGGGAGAAGCCTCTCTTGAGGTGCCTGTGGCTTTTCCATTCCTTTGCCTGGGAAGGATCTGGGGAACACGCCCTCTCTGGGCTCCACGCTGTGCTGTTTGTCTCCTGGTAGCTGTCTGAGCCCATTTTCATAGCACTCTGGGTGAGGAGCAAGTGGCCATCTAGCCTTGGCACTCGGCTTCCTGGTGCATTTATCTCCCTGCCTCGTGCTCAGGGTCAGTGCTTGCCTCGGGGTCTGTCTCCTGGGCCAAGGGGTTTTTGGGGTCACATTGTGACTTGTTGCATTTCCCCAGTGACTCATGGGCTCAGCACCTCTGTCCCTCTATGGCTCTTTGGGTTGGCTTGTGGTAAACCCATCCACACTGGCCTTTTCCTGACACCTAGTACTTTTGTGTCCCTGTAGGGGCAGGATTCAGCCTGCCCCGGCACTTTAATTAATACTTTTTTAAAAATCCCCTTCTCTACAAATATATATTGTAGAACTTATTTAAAATGAAATTTAAAAGAAGCAGTAAAAATGGTGTTATGTAGCTGGTGTTGTAAGGGAGCCAGACCCCCAGCAGTGGGGCCTCAAATCCCACTGGACGTCCCCTGGGCCAGATGCTCACAGGACCCCTTCACATACCTGTGGGCTGTCCTGCGCTTTGCCTCTTGTTGTTAGTTAGCATTGTTTGCTTTCAGTAAGAGCAGCCAGTGCTTATGGGAAACTGGTGTGCCAGACACCAGGAGACGCACGTGTCCACACATCATCCTGTTTGCCCAGCACAGTGCCATGTGGGACAGAGCCGGACTTCCTGAGTCTGTAGTGACCTGTCTGACCCACAGCCGGTGCCTCATGCTGATTCCTTCTGGCTCTGACCCTGTGACCGCCCCCCCCGACTTGTTTTGTTACTTCCTAAAACTAAATATTTTAAATGTGCTTGTAGGAATTAAGGGAATTGTGTTTATTGCACAGAAAAATAACCACTTGCAGTAGTGCCACTTTTATATAACCACCATCTCATGTTGATGCCTTTTTTGTACTTTGTCAGTTCTCATACTCAAGCAGGGTATACATTCTAGTCTAGTTTGGTCTGTTCTAGTCTAACCGTCTGTCTCTGGTCTCCTAGGCTCTGCTCTAGTCCAGTTTGTTCTGCCGTGAGAGCTGGTTTGCATCCAGCTGCTCCATCCCTGTGTTGGTTTTGGTGCATGTCCCTAGGTTCAGCAGGGGCTCCAGCAGGAGGTGGACAACGGGCTCGTGCCTCACCCTCCTGAGGGTGCCTTCCTGGCACCCTGAATTCTCCTCCCACAGCTGCACCACCTGGTGAGTGATGACGTCTGTCTGAAGGTGGTAGAGCTCTACGTGAACGAGAAGAAGCGGGGGGCCGCAGGTGGGAACCTGTCCTCACGCTGTGTCCGTGCTGCCAGGGAGACCAGTTACCAGTGGAAGGCTGAGCGCTGCATGGCGGATGAGAACTGCTTCAAGGTAAGGGGTCAGCTACTGGGGGTGGGGGACTGGGAGTGCCTCATAGGAGAGGAAGTGCAGCACTTAAGCCCAGTTGGTGGGCCTGAGGTGGACCACAACTCAGCCACAGGCCAGCTGATACCCTGTGTGCCTTTGGGCTGCAGGACACTGCTTCAACCTAGAGAGTGCCCAGTCCAAGGTCCCTTGAAGAAGGATGGGGCCTGGAGCTTGGTAAAGGCAGGCCATAGGTGACCTTTGACCTTGTCCAGTGCCAGCTGGGCCATTGTGTGTCTTCAGGCTATTCCTCCCCTGGGTCCCCAGGTGATGTTCCTCCAGCGCAAAGGGCAGGTGATCATGACCATTGAACTTCTGGATACTGAGGAAGCGCAGACAGAAGACCCCGTGGAGGTCCAGGTGAGACCCAGCCCTGTGTTCTGTGCCTTGTGTACACTGTGTGCCACCCCATGAGGCCCATGCACACGCTGTTCAGGCACAGACCCAAGTTGTCCACCCGGAGAAACCTCCTGTGTAGGCTGCAGGTCTCCTTGGAAACCTAAGAGGGGGTGGGAGCTGTAGTTGACCACTCCAGAGCCAGTGGGTGTGTCCCATGGAAGGAGGGTCAGTGAGAGCCACCCTTGTCCTCTCCCAAATCCCTGGCTCCTGGCTTCCCATCTGCTACCGTGACATCCCTATCCGGCTCACCACTGCTGAGGGTACTTAGACCCCCCCCAGTCCGGGATCCCCGCATCTAAACATCAAGAAGGCTCTGAGCCAGATCTCTGAGCCCCAGGAGGAGCTCTGCCAGGCCTGCATCGTATTGCACGGTCCTCTTGGTGTCCGTAGAAGCAGGCCTGAAGCCTCAAACCTCCCACAGCTGGGTCTCACCCTTTTCCCTCCACAGCCACCAGTGCTCCCAGCCTGCTTCACACAGGAGATCTTTCCAAAATAAATGAGGGCAGGGGCTGTACACCCTGCCCCCCTTCTGTAACTCTCCACAAATGTGGAGGGGCCTTGGTTTTGACAGGGTACTAAACAGATGACAGCCCTTGGACAAGCCATGCCCAAGGAACACCTGGGTGGTCAGTGGGCCCCGCCTGTTACTCACCTCAGCCCTGCCTGGTTTTCCCTATTTGTCACTTGCTGTACGTGCTCTAACGCCCGTTCCTGCCCCCACCCCTGGCTGTTCTCCGTGTAAGGCTCCCATTCCATCCCACTGCCCATGTGAAGTTGACATAAGATGGATACAGAAAGGACACAGTAGGGATTTATCCACCCAGATATAATACCAGTCTAAATCTTTGGGACAGTGAGGTCGCATCCCTGGGCTTAGGTACTGGCAAGAGCTCACTCCCCTGACGCAGGGCTTTTCTCTGCAGCACCTGGCTCACTATGTGGAGCAGTATGTGGGGGCTGAGGGTGCGTCGAGCTCTCCCACTGAGGGCTTCCTCCTGAAACCTGTGTTCCTGCAGAGGTAAGAGGGTCTGTGATGGACCAAGGGAGTGCCCTGTGCTTGGTGAGGCTGAAAAACATTGTGTCCTCTATCTGAGAGCACTTACTGGACTCCTGATGTATACCGAGGTGTGGCCCTACCCTCCTGAGGCTTACAGTCTAGGGTGAGCAGAGCTACACCTGAGAGCAGTCCCAAGATGACAAGGTTTACCCTCATCAAGGGAGTCCATTCTGCCCAAGACAGCTGAAACCCCAGATACATAACTCAGAGGAGGAGGTGAGAGCCTAGAGGGATAACCTTCTAGAAATGGCAGGTAACATGTCAGAGACAGGGGTGACCACCCTATCAGGGTCTGGGACTTTCTGATCGGGGGGGGCAATTAGTGGGTATTTAGATTTGAATGGGGACAACTTTCCAAGTCAGAACCAATCTGGGGGAGCAGTCCCAACAGTCCCAAGCTCATGATGGAAATTAATGAGGGTCCCTAATCAGGAAGGGTCTCAGGGAGAAGAGAAACTCACTGGATCTGGAGCGGGAGGAGACTCATGCTGGAGGAACCAGAGAAAGAAAATGCAGGTGGCTAGAAGTTCTGGGGTGAGCAAGTTGGTGGGTGCTCCAGATTGCCAGCACCAGGCAGGACTCAGCTTTGTTTTTGCTGCATTTGAGGTTAGGTGATAATTTTTCGGGATTCCAGATTGCACTTCTCCAACATCTGGGGAATTGGATATCTTCCTGTATTATGGGTCTCAAGGATTTCCTGCTCTGCAATCTTCCCCTCACCCCAGGAACCTCAAGAAGTTCCGAAGGTGGCAGTGTGAGCAGGTGCGAGCCTTGCGGGGGGAGGCCAAGAGCTCCTGGAAGCGGCTGGTGGGGGTGGAGAGCGCCTGCAATGTGGACTGCCGCTTCAAGCTCAGCTCCCACAAGATGATGTTCATCGTGAACTCTGAGGACTACATGTACCGCCGTGGGACCCTCTGCCGCGCCAAACAGGTGCCGCTCTGCCAGCCCTAGGTCGTGGGGGGGTGTCTACTCCTGCAGCCACCTGTGGGTGCCTGGCATCCTGGGGCCTGAGGTCCAGCCCGTGGCTGTCCAGGGTGCCTAGATGTCCTGACCCCTCCCTGCCCCCACAGGTGCAGCCCCTGGTCCTGCTGCGGCACCACCGGCACTTTGAGGAATGGCACGGCCGCTGGCTGGAGCACAACGTGACAGTGGAGGCAGCCAGCCTGGTGCAGGACTGGCTGATGGGTGAGGAGGATGAAGACATGCTGCCCTGCAAGACCCTGTGCGAGACGGCGCATGTGCACGGCCTGCCGGTCACCCGCTATCGTGTGCAGTACACCCGCCGCCCTGCCTCGCCCTGACACTCCACGGCACCGCCTCGAGGTTCGGCCTGCGTGTGTATCGGCTTCTCCGTGGACAGCCCGCGGGGGGAGGATCCCCAGCCTTGCTGCCCAGGCTGTGGCCTCCAGAGATGGGGAGGGGCATGCTGGCCTCCATCCCACGCTGTCATCCCTCAGCTTCCAGATGTGCCAAACCTGAACCCCGCACTTGAACTCTGGGGGCTCTGTCCCTGCTGTAAGTGGTAGGGTCAGCATGGGGCTGTGGAGCAGGGATTGCATTCACGCCCCTGACCGGCCCTCTACACATGTGCCAAACCCCTAAGCAGGGCCACCGTCCTTCTGTGCATACGGTGCCCAGAAAAGTCAGTGACAAGCCATTCAAGGGCATTCATTTTGGGGGAGGGGAGACCCCATCATGGAAGGAGTCAACCCAGTTGTATCTACTTGAAAAACACACCCCTCCCAAGTGGTTCTGAGAGCTTCTGGAAATACCACCTGCATCTGACCGTTTGGGCATTGACTTGGCCCAGCTGACCCTGGTGGGCCACAGTCACTTTGAAGCCAGAGAACCCTTCCATCCAGTGTCGGGATTTTACCTCTACATCAAGACGTGGATCGGGCTGGGAGCACCAGAACTGTCTGGAAGATCCCACTCTGGGATAAAGAAAGACCAAACGTTGATTGTGCAGTCAGACATGGGGTTGTGAGGACAAGATCTCCACCAGATGTTCCCACCAAGCTCATGGGCCCCACATGGAGGACCCTGGCTATTCTCTAAACATACATGCACACACATATTTATTCCTTTTCACTCCCTTCGTGGTTGTAACTTTGCAGCAGCCAGGTCCCACAGCTTCTTGGGGTGAAAGTTGCTTTCAAGGAACTCCGCATGCCACCCTCACATCCAGGCCCCACAGCTGGGGCAGCCGCAGGTGTGGCATGAGGGCTGACAGCATCCAAGGCTGCTGTGCCGCTACCACCAACCTGCGCCAAACTGCCAGTTGGACCCCTGGCCCATCAGAGGTGACCCCCGACTGTGAGCCTGGAACGCCCCCGTGCAGCCCTCATCCTGAAACAGCCAGGAAGTGGAGACTGATTTCTAGAAATTACCTGTGGGACTTAAGGTTGATGAAACCGTGACTCCTAGGTCTGGGCAGCTCCAGGGCCAGTCTGTCCCACCAGGGCCTCCTGCCTCGTTTCCTCGAGTGTAGTCCAGGCACTTTGGACATTCTCGTTTTGTCAGAAGGGGATTCTTGTGAGGATCCCGCACCAGACCTTTGGCAGCCTGCCCCCTGGGGGTCCCCTGTCTGTGCCTCAAGTGGACTGGGTGTGATCAGACCTCACAAAGTCCCCATCTTTCCAGCTTACCCACCCCCACCCACCCACCCCAGCATGCTTCTAGGGAGCGCCTCGTTTTTTGAAGAATTTCTGTTCCAGGGCTTGTACTTCCTTTGCAGCTGTTTTGAATGTAGTTTTCCTTTTCTATTTATTTGCACATTAAACTGAAAAAGTTAAATATTGATGTAAAGCTGTGAGGTACCCTCAGGCCTTTCCCTAAGGTGATTTCTCCTGGCTGGGCTGGGGTATCTGCATGCCCACTAGCAAGATGCCAAGTCCCAGCTGCAAAGCCTCGCAGCTTCCCTGCACGTGTGGGCTCCTGGTCCCATGGGGCATTGTTCTACCCAGAGAATGTCTCTAGAATATTCATTCCCAGCTCAGTGTTCATTTTCAGTGAAAATAGGAGGTGTCTCCTTGAAGTGTCATTTCATACAAGACCCAGTTAAAAGACTGGTGTTTGCTCTGAGCTTTATCAACTTCTGCGTGGTCACCCACGCCAGCACAGGGTCTCCCAGCCCACAGGCCACTCTCCAAGCTCTCTGGTCTCCCTCCTGACGGGACCGCCACCTTTTCCGTCACTACCACCTGAGCTTCAGAGCCCTCCACCAGGCTCTGCCTCTCACCTGCCTTCTGGGAAATGAAACCACTGCGTTGCTTGGGGACCTCTGAGCTGACACCCCTGAGACTCCTCAGGACTGGTGGGTACTTGCCCTCACCCAGCCAGTGTCCCTCACAGGCCTCACCCGGCAGGACCATTTCTCTCCCAGGAGTAGGTCTCAGTGGTGCTGCATCCCTGGCACCCCTTCCACATGACCTTACACAGGTGTGCTACCTGCTTGGCACCACCTCCCTCCAGAGAATCTGCTCCTTGGGCATTTTGTGGGGCAGACTTGTGCTGTCGCAGAGTTTTGACCAGGCCTACATCAGGGTGCACAGGGCCCCACCTTGCCCTTTGCCAGCCAGGCCTGCCTTTGTCAGCAGCACTGAGATGGGAAGGCCAGGGTGCTCCTGGAAAGGGTGCTGGGTCCCAGGATTGCTGGTCTTAGTGGCCACAGTGGTGTGCAGAATTCTGAGATGGCCATAGATTCCCCACAAGGGAAACCCCCAAATAGCCCCTGCCTTTGTGGGTGCAATAAGGTTTGAGAGGTGAGCTTGGTGGGAGGGTGTTTCTGGCCTGGGAGATACCAGCTCAGTGTTGGTAAGGGGGCCTGCCCTTGCAGATGAGGGCTGGCCCACAGCCTGCACCCTGGTGAGGCCCTGGGCAGAGCACCCACCCTTGGAGGACCCAGATCCTCAGAACTCAATTGCTATAAGCCCTGAGTCTGTGCATCAGACAGTAACAAAGAGCAGCCCTGGCCTAGAAAGCTGTCCTGCCGCCTCGTAGCAGGCACCAGGTGGGCTGTCCCCCTCCTGCCCCACAGGGGCTCGACCCTGTATCCCCGAGTGTGTGACAAGATTAGGTCTTTCTGCTCCGGACATGGCCAGATCAACCCTTCTGCCATGCCTCGCTCATCTCTTCTCCCCACCCCCACCAGCCCAAGGAGCCCTGCTGTTCCCAGTCCCTCCCCTGGCCCAGGCCTGACCACACAGGACAAAGGACCCCCAGAGTAGGGCTCCCCTGAGCAGGACGGCTAAGTCCTCTCTGGGGTCGGGAGGAGCTTCAGAGGGACTGCGTTTAGGATAGAGGAGCCTCAGTTTCTTCATGTAACAGCCGCCCTCTGAGTGGCCGACACAGAGGTGACAGGGGTCCTTCTGACCTAGGTGCACCCGGCCCCCAGACTGGGGGCGATGGAGGAGGCTTGGGGGTAGGTGGTCAGGGGAGTGGAAGTGCAGAACATGTGGAGCCAGGGCCCGAGCCACTGGCCTTGGACATGACCTTGCCTCCTCCCTTGGAGTCACACATCCTCTCAGGCTGGCCAGAGGAGGTAACATTTGTGGGTGCCTCTGGCTTCAAAGTACAGTAAAGGAAACAATTTCCACACAGGCAGCTTCCCAGGCACGCGTGGGCCAGAGGCCTTGAGGTCCTCTGACTCTTCTGCAGACTCCCATCTTCCAGTGCAGAGTGAAGTGGGGGGAGGCAGTGTGGAAGGGTCACTCGGGAAGGGGTGTGCACCTGGAGCTCCAGGCTGGGCTGGAGGGTGAGAGAGTCAAGCCGCTTACTCAGGTTTGTTTGCCTTTTTTATTTGTTGCTATTTAACAAGTTTCTACATTTTGGTAAAATACATAAAAATTTACCACATTAACCATTGTGAGTGTCCAGTGGCGATTAAATACATTGCCGTCAGTGTACATCATCTCCAGCCGCCCTTCCCACAACTTAATTCACTAACTGCAACGCTGTCCCC